ATGTCACATTTGGGGATTATTGATGGATGTGATTATGGAACAATAATTGTAGCCAGCAAATTGTTAAAGGATAAATTGTTTTCTCATTAATTGGAACATTGATACAATGGCAATGAATAACTATAAGCTGACAATGATGATGTTTTTTCCTCAATGAATAATCCAAAATAAAGGAGTAACTGAAATGTGTAATTAAAAGTTTTAAATGAAAATAAGAGGGGAAAAGACATTTTATGACCGACATTCTTAAAACCCAACTGAACGCCATCTTCCATTATCAAGGGTATTTTACCTCAGTGTTGCTATGATAGGTCCCTTAGGCATGTCGGAATCGTGGGGTCGTGGGTTCGAATCCCACTTCGCTCTGACTATGTTTCTTGGTTTGACAGCACAATGCCAGTGTTGGTGGTCAAACATCTAAGACCTGCATCATTTCGGGCTTTCCTCACACCCCAAGATGACACCCCTCCATGTAACTGAAATTACTGTTCAAAGCGGCGTTAAACAAAACTCACAAACCCCTGTCAAAAAAACGTAACTACGGCCTTGGAAACATATTCTTGGCGAACCGGGATTCGAACCCACAATCATAGGTTTCTGGCATGCCCAAGGGACGCAATACTGCACCGCGAATCGCTGCGCCTTAGACTACTGGCCCGGTTGGTTGGTTTGTTGTTTAACGCCGCACTCAGCAATATTCCAGACGGCAGTCTGTAAATAATCGAGTCTGGACAAGACGATCCAGTGATCGATATCATGAGCATCGATCCACGCAATTTGGATCGATGACATGCATCAACCAAGTCAGCGAGCTTGACAACCAGATCCCGTTAGTCGCCTCTTACAACAAGCATAGTCGCCTTTACGGCAAGCATGGGTTGCTGAAGACCTATTCTAGCCCGGATCTGTTCAATGAGGGAAAGGTCTTGCTCATTGCTGGCCATGTAATTGTTGTCATGTGTTGTTGGAGGTGTGAAGTGACTATTCGTGCAGGGTGACAACGGGCGTTGTCATTCTGAAAGACAAAACGTCGACCCTCATGCCCTGCGAACTGGACAACGAAGGGTGTCAGTGTGTTATTGTGTGCCGTGACCCTTCCTTGTACAATATGGAATTGGGTTTGGGCATTTATAGTGATGCCAACCGACACCATAACCGCTCCACAGTCAAATCTGTCTTGAGGTCACGGGTTGACATTGCTTGACGTTCATGTCGACGTCGCCAGACACGACCACGTCTACGAAGGAAGTGCAACGTGAATCGGGACTCAAGAAAAAACGACACGTGACCAACGACGAATACAGCATCGACGTTGTGTACACCATGGACGTCTGTTGACAATATGACGATTGTTAGGAGCGGCACAACAGTTGGAGAGGTCGAACTTGGAGATGAGCTGCCTGTAGACGATTTCAAATTGTCGGACCCGGGCCTCGTACTCCAGTAGCCTGATGAAAGTTTGCAGCGATTTGATTCGTCGTTTGAGCTTGATTTCGTTGAGTCTGGTTTCGGATCAATCGACTAAGTACTCTTGTTGATCTGGGACGCCCTTAACGGCGTCGATCGTCAACAGTATGGGTTTGTTGGTACCTGTTCCTATGTCTGTTAATCTGACTGTGAAACATTGAACGTATTGGCCACTACGCGCCGACTTCAACCGCCTCCGTGGGCTAGTGGTAGAGCGTCCGCCCGGAGAGCGGAAGGTCCGGGGTTCGATCCCCGGCCACGTCATACCAAAAGACGTTAAAAGATGGTACTTGTTGTTACCCGGTCTGGCGCTCGGCATTAAGGGGCTAAAACAAGGACTGGTCGGCTCGGAGTCAGTATACTGTTTCTGAGTGAGGTATTCATGTTAAACTGCGGCATGGTATCTCAGTGAGCTAGCACTATAAATCGGCATGAGTCCGGACTAGTACAAGCAGCCACACACACACACGTGCATGCACGTCGCTATATAAGTGCAATAATCTTGGACGCGACGTTAAACCCCATTTCACCTCACCACCTTCCACGCCGACTTCCAGCATGCCAATAGTCCGTAGACGCTCCGCGCGTTGCAGACGCAGCATCGCTAGTTCATACACACACAATGAATGACATCAAGTAAATCACGACTGCATGATCAGTAGAGTCAATATGATTGACAGAAATAATGATCCACAGATTAATCTACCGTATTTGAAAGTTTCAAAATCAGGAATGACACCCTGCGCACGCGTGTGGCGCTACTGCGCGTGGCACGTGCAAACTATGGGATGTGTTTTGGCGTCATGTTTTACAAACATAAACGTTCTTGCATAGGGTGTTTATCGTCAACACTCATCTTTGTTCTGCTCATGTCACATCCCCTACTTTTGTTGAAAAGTATAATTGTTCTAAATCTTGGCGCTTATATAGCGACGTGCATGTGTGGAGGAATGGCATAGAGGAATTATTAATAAACTGAAAACTCATGGTATCCAAGGCGAACTATTAAAATGGTTTGAAAGTTATTTTGAAAATAGAGTAAAACGGGTAGCAGTTAACGGGTACAAATCTGACAAGAAAGCTGTACTAGCTGGAGTACCCCAGGGCTCAGTCCTTGGACCACTTCTTTTTCTGATAAACATTAACGATATTGTATGTGATATTGACAGCAACATTCGTCTCTTTGCAGATGACACTTCATTATATGTTATCATAGAAGATCCATCAGTTGCTGCTACCTGTCTTAACAATGATCTAGATACAATTTCACAATGGGCCCGTAAGTGGCAGGTTACATTTAACCCAAATAAGGCCGAAACCATCCAATACTCACGTAAAGCTAAACCGTCTCTAAAGCCGAACCTACTTATGGACGGAACAATCATAAAAGAAGTCCAAAGTCATAAACATTTAGGAGTGACACTCCAAAGCGACTGTACATGGACTGATCACATTAATGATATTGTACAAAAAGTTCGCCCTATGATCAGTTGTCTGAGGAGTTTTAAATACCGGTTATCACGTAAAACCTTGGATACTATGTATAAGTCATCTTGCCAACATTTGACTATTGTTCGCATATTTGGGATAACTGTACGTCTGAGCAATCGCGTATATTAGAAAGTTTACATCTTGATGCCCTGAGAACTATATGTGGTGCCGTTCGTGGCACAAATCATTAGAAGCTTTATAATGAAACTAAATCTCAATCCTTGCAAGATAGAAGATACTGCCAAAAATTAACTTTTTTCTTTAAAATGTATAACAACCAATTCCAGAACTATCTTTGTGATTTGATCCCAAACTTTGTCTCCGAAACTACAAACTATAATTTAAGAAACAGTTCTGAAATACAAGGAATTTATAGCCGTACTTCTTCTTACGCCAAATCCTTTTTACCAGACACAATACACTTATGGAATGCTCTACCGAAGTCCAAAGAGTCAAGTAGTCTGTCAGAATTTAAAAACCTAATTACGAAAACCGAAAATAAGACTTATTTTGACATTAGCTATGGCACTCGATTCTGTTAAATCGTTCACTGCCGCCTCAGACTCGGCTGTAGCGACCTAAACGCCGATAAGTATTATAACAGACATTTAATTGACAGTCCGTGTTGCTCCTGTGGATATCAGAGTGAAAACGCCTTACGTTATTTCTTTACTTGCTGTAACTTTACTCAGATAAGACTTAATATGCACTTTTACACTACCGGTTATAACCTGGATACTATTATGAACGGAAACAATGAACTTGCTTACTCTGAAAACCAGAAATTAGTTGAATCCGTCCACGATTTCATCATCAAGACAAAACGTTTCAGCTCTTCATAAATTAATAATTAAATAAACCGGACAATAACCTCATGATTGACTTTTGTTACAAACGACTTGTTAGACACACACAAGCTCTAACTCTCTATTTATGTTCACTTTGTATTTGTATTTGATGTAATATGTACAAACATATTATTTAAATAATGTCTATATCGATGAGGTCACATCCTTCATTTCAATATAAAATATATGTTGTATGGGAGCGGTGTTAACATAAGCTGTAAAGCTTGTTCACCAATCCCAACTCATTTCAAGGAATAAAAATATGTTTAAACCACGTGCATGTGTGTGTATGTGTGCGCACGTGCGTGCGCGTGTGTATGTGTGGCTGCTTGTACTAGTCCCGACTAATGCCGATATATAGTGCTAGCCCACTGAGATACTATGCCGCAGTTTAACATGAATACCCCACTCGCATACTGACTCCGAACCGACCAGTTCTTGTTTGAGCCCCTTAGTGCCGAGTGCCAGACAGGGTAACAACAAATACCATCTTTTAATGTCTTTTAACCCCACCGGCCGCGTCATACCAAAAGAAGTTAAAGATGGTACTTGTTGTAACCCTGTCTGGCGCTCGGCATTAAAGGGCTAAAACAAGAACTGGTCGGCTCGGAGTCAGTATACTGTGTCTGAGTGGGGTATCCATGTTAAACTGCGGCATGGTATCTCAGCGTGCTAGCACTATAAATCGGCATCAGTCCGGACTAGTACAAGCAGCCACACACACACGTGCATGCACGTCGCTATATAAATGCAATAATCTTGGACGCGACGTTAAACCCAATTTCACCTCACCACCTCACCTTTTAACCCCAGACCTTCCGCTCTCCTGGCGGACCCTCTTCCACTAGACCACGTTGTCGGTCTCCCTGTATTGGACAAGTGTCCATCGTTGTCCTAGTTGTAATATGTCATGACTCATCAAGTGTTCAAATCTCCGGTACTACTGTGTTACTTCCCACACCAAATATCTGGTTATGTGTTTCAGTAAATCATTACTAGGTTTAATCCAATTGCGCTTCAATAATTTGTATTCATGTAAACACAAATGGTGCTAACATCCCATGCAAGGACAGAATGTGCCATTAGAAGTCGTTCCTGTAGCAAAGTGGTCTAGCGCATGCGTGACAGAGCCTATTATTTTGAATACGGGAAACAACGATTGACGGGTTTCCTGAAGGAACGAATGTAGCTTACATAGCGGGTCCGGAAACGATGGCTTGCAACGTTGCCTGCAGGTGAATACTGGGTCCTTCCTCAGGGTCACGTTACGCACATGATAGTCGGCTGGTCCGGGCTCTATGGGAGCTGAAAAAAGACGGGTTTTTTTTCTCATGGTAGCATACGTGAAATAATGGCTGTTTTTGTTACATACAATTTATCTTCAATCACAGTCTAAGGTGCGGTGCTATGCAGTTTGAGATTGCTCTGGAACTGTCATCACCGAGCATGTTTGTTTATTACATTGTTCGGGAACAGTCATCAGCGGGCATATGTGTTTATCCCATTGTTCAGGAACAGTCACCACCGAGCATGTTTGTTTATTACATTGTTCGGGAACAGTCATCAGCGGGCATATGTGTTTATCCCATTGTTCAGGAACAGTCATCACCGAGCATGTTTGTTTATTACATTGTTCGGGAACAGTCATCAGCGGGCATATGTGTTTATCCCATTGTTCGAGAAGTCATCACCGGGTATATGTGTTTATCACACTGTACAGGAACAGTCATCAACGGGTATATGTGTTTATCACATTGTTCGGGAACAGTCATCACCGGGTATATGTGTTTATCACATTGTTCGGGAACAGTCATCAATGGGTATATGTGTTTATCACATTGTACAGGAACAATCATCACCGGGTATATGTGTTTATCACATTGTTCGGGAACAGTCATCAACGGGTATATGTGTTTATCACATTGTTCAGGGACAGTCATCAGCGAGCATGTTTGTTTATTACATTGCTCGGGATCAGTCATCACCAGGCATATGTGTTTATCACATTGTTCAGGAACAGTCATCACCGGGTATATGTGTTTATCACATTGTTCAGGAACAATCATCAGCGAGAATGTGTGTTTATCACATTGTTCGGGAACAGTCATCACCGGGTATTTGTGTTTATCACATTGTTCAGGAACAGTCATCACCGGGAATATGTGTTTATCACATTGTTCAGGAACAGTCATCACCGGATATATGTGTTTATCACATTGTTCAGGAACAGTCATCACCGAGCATGTTTGTTTATTACATTGCTCGGGAACAGTCATCACCGGGTATATGTGTTTATCACATTGTTCAGGAACAGTCATCACCGGGTATATGTGTTTATCACATTGTTCAGGAACAGTCATCAGCGAGAATGTGTGTTTATCACATTGTTCGGGAACAGTCATCACCGGGTATATGTGTTTATCACATTGTTCAGGAACAGTCATCACCTAGCATATGTGTTTATCACATTGTTCAGGAACAGTCATCACCTAGCATATGTGTTTATCACACTGTTCAGGAACAGTCATCACCGGGCATATGTGTTTATCACATTGTTCAGGAACAGTCATCACCGGGTGTATGTGTTTATCACATTGTTCAGGAACAGTCATCACCGGGCATATGTGCACTTCACGTTTCTTATTTAACGATCTTGATGATTTCGTGTTGGAAATACTGCAGAAATGTGAGGTATTGGAAATACTGCAGAAATGTGAGGTGTTGGAAATACTGCAGAAATGTGAGGTGTTTTGGTTGTCTACAGACGTAGATCATCTGGGCTAGAGTCAGTGATCTTTGAAGTAATCTTTTCCACACTGTGTCACATGTGCCATGTGTATCGACTGTGTTAGTAGTGCCATTCTGAAAGTTACTACCTGCTTTCTGATAACAGTGGGATAGATTTGAATCAAATCGTCATTATCCGATAAATTTGAAAACAATTGGCCCATAAGAGACCATCTGTCGCATAATTGACATATTTGTAGTGAGCCGCGAGGACTAATCGTTTCACACATGATACATATCAGACTGAATGTGACAGTTGTTTGGGTGAAGGTCATCTGCAAAGTTCAACATAAACTTCACGTTCCTTGGTATAATTTGAGCTGCGTCGACGATAATAACTGGGCATGTTGATTTTAACGCCGCTTTGAACCTTATTTCAGTGATGTAGTTGTTTAAGCGTGTATTTGGTAAATATGTGACGTCAACGGCAGAGAATATCCACCGAAAACGATTCCATTGGGCAAAATTGGCAAAATGAAAAAACGGATCACGGAAAATCAGTGATGGCATCAGGAGTTTGAGGCATGCGTGCGTGCGTGCGTGATAGCGTACGTGTGGAACTTAAATCCTTGACCGACCGCCTCTGTGGTCTAATGGTAGATCCCCAGCCGCGTCATACCAAAAGACGTTAAAAGATGGTACTTGTTGTTACCCTGTCTGGCGCTCGGCATTAAGGGGCTTAAACAAGGACTGGTCGGCTCGGAGTCAGTATACTGTGTCTGAGTGGGGTATTCATGTTAAACTGCGGCATGGTATCTCAGTGTGCTAGCACTATAAATCGGCATCAGTCCGGTCTAGTACAAGCAGCCACACACACACACATACACGTGCATGCACGTCGCTATATAAGTGCAATAATCTTGGACGCGACGTTAAACCCAATTTCACTTCACTTAAATCCTTGACCGGAGTGTTGTGTCTATGACCTCACACCATTGACATCTGTTTATCGATCATGGTGATGTTTACCTCTTCAAGACCAAATTCGGTCATGTGAACTTTTGACTGAATTGATCTTATTGGTTTTGGCAGTCATCTTTATGAGAGATCGATAAATAATATTTGCGTAACAGGTATCTGTGTTTGTTATTTATCCGAAAATGTGAAAACGTGACAGACAGCGGATATTTGTCAAGACACTATAGCTTTAACCAACCCTGTCATTCCTTCTCATAAACAAGATGGTACTTGTTGTTACCCTGTCTGGCGCTCGGCATTAAGGGGCTAAAACAAGGACCGGTCGGCTCGGAGTCAGTATACTCTGTCTGAGTGGGGTATTCATGTTAAACTGCGGCATGGTATCTCAGTTAGCTAGCACTATAAATCGGGATCAGTCCGGACTAATACAAGCAGCCACACAAACATATACACGAACATGCACGTCGCTATATAAGTGCAATAATCTTGGACGCGACGTTTAACCCAATTTCACCTCACCTCACCTTCTCATAAACACACATCCTTAAATCAAAACCACCTTTTCCCTGCAATCACACGCATGCACGCACGCGCGTTCTTAACAATAATCGTCCAGAAAGCTAGGTTTACGGTTTAACGAGGTTTCACTGTATAAAGGTTACCGGAAATGATGGCCGTCAGATTATGGAACAATGCAGTTATATGGAAAGAGATAGTGATGGTTAGGGTCGCCCTGGCTAAGCCCCATCTGACTGTGTGAGATCCGCCTCCCCCGAAATCGTACCCCAGATGCCAGACTTACCATTAACGTCAAACCAGCGGTAGGACATTGTCGCGGCCTTGAAAAAGGGGTCAAACGACGTCTTCAGCGTGTAGGCGTTGGCTGCGGGTCCGGCCTTCTCGATACCTAGATGTGAAGAAAAACAGAAGGATTTTCGACGCTTTAAGCAACAATCCAGCACTATTACCATCACCTGTACAAGGTTTACAAAGTTGTACATTTGGATTTAAATGTGTGTGAATGCATGTAAATTTAGACACAGACTGAAGGTATGTATATTCAGACATACATTTATGTAAATATATATTTTGCATGTAAATGTCACATTTACAACAATAAATCAGGCTACACTATTGCTATATTTATCAAGCTTTGTAAAAGCATGATTTTACACATAATGTAAAGTTAGTGAGTTGTGTGTAACGCCGCCCTTTTATATAAAAACAGTATTCCAGTTATATCACGCCGCCTTTTAAACAGTATTCCAGTTTTATCACGGCGGGGCGGTCGGGTAGCCTAGTGGTTAAAGCGTTCGCTCGTCACGCCGAAGACCCGAGTTCGATTCCCGTCATGGGTACAATGTGTGAAGCCCATTTCTGGTGTCCCCCGCCATGATATTGCTGGAATATTGCTGGAATATTGCTAAAAGCGGCGTAAAATCGTACTCACTCACTCACTATATCCGGGCGTGTCAGCTTAATGTGGGAGGAAAGTCCGAAGTGATGCGGGTCTCAGACATTTACCACTTCGGAGAAACCCACGAGCACGGGCATGGTGCTGACAAACCTAGAAACATAATCAGGGCGAACCGGAATTCGAACCTGCAATCTGGCGTGCCCAAGGGACACACAACACTGTACAGCGAATTGCGGCGACTTAGACGACTTGGCCACCCGTGCCCCCACATAATGTAACGGTACACATTTCTTCCAATGTACCACAGCAAGAAAGATATATTTGACCTTTGCAACCATCTTCAGCATTAAACCAGGTGTCTCCAGCGTGACGAACCAATGCGTCAACTCACCTTCTAGTGAAACGTTAAGGCATTCGTGCAACGCTGGAACAATGCTATACCTCATTACAGTAAACTACGGTTATAACGAACTAAAAGGACCATTAATTTTAGTTCGTTATAACCGTAGTTCGTTATATGCACATATACAGCCTACATACAGCAAATGAACGGGACCCAAAAACAATTCGTAATATCCGTCAGTTCGGTATAAGCATGTTCGTTATAAACGTAGTTTACTGTATATCAGTATTGCACTTATTATCCCTGGTATAAAATCAGAGTGGTTTTCATTGCACCGAAAAATAATCATGCAGTTTATTTTTTCTTCTCCACATTTTGGAGAGTTTTAATAAAGGCGTGTCAGTCTATCAGCTGGCTTACTTTTTGGGTGTTCCTTCCTCCTGCCGGCGATGGAGATTGCCACAGTTTTGCCGATGGTACTGCCGACGTCGTATGTATTTGGTGCCGGGTCCTTCTTTTTCTTGCCTGAAAATATTAATTTACTGTTTAATTAATAAAAGCGACAAAACTCGTTCTATATTCATAAGGGGGGCACGGGTGGCCCAGTTGTCTAAGGCGCCGCGATTCGCTGTGCAGAGTTGCGTCCCTTGGGCACGCTAGAAACTTATGATTGTGGGTTCGAATCCCGGTTCGCCCCGATTATGTTTCTAGATTTGTCAGCACCATGCCCGTGCTCGTGGGTTTCACCGAAGTGGTAAACGTCTGAGACCTGCATCACTTCGGGCTTTCCTCCCATATTAAGCTGACACGCCGTGATATGACTGGAATACTGTTAAAAGCGGCGTTAAACCCAACTCACTCACTCACTCACTATATTCCTAAGAAATCTCTGACAAAAGCAGAGTCGATTAAAGTATTCCGACTACATCATGAGCATGTGTTTATGAATCACTATCACAGTTTTAAAGTGATGATAACAGGTGTTGGCGAAAGGATGAGCGTATCCATCCTCGGCATCCAGGGTAATATTTTCCGATGAGGTCTAGTAGCTCGAAGTGAAAGTGCAAATGATACTTTATTTTAGAGGATTGGTGGGGCGCATTCACTACAATTGGTATTGAAGCCGTGTTATTAAAGACCAAAGTTATAATTTTACAGATAGCTTCAATTTACGTGGATATTTAAATTTTGGACAGCAATGTGGTAAGAGCAGACTAAACTAAATATCTTGCAGTTAACCTTGCTGATTGTGTGACATGTGCGGACAGATTGGGTCGTTGTTCATGCTATCAACCATTGGTTTGTCATGACAGGTACGTCCATTTACGGCTGCAGTGATATAACTGGAATTTTGCCCACAGTATTTATACAACAATTAGGACATGCGTATTTCTATATGTTTCTGTCAATTGTAATTGCGTTCCTATATATTTCCTTTACTTAATACATCTGTATCAATTAAACGCAGATTGTAATCCCTTTTGGGCTTTTAGCAATTCTTTTGATTGTATTTGTCAGTAAAATAGTTGGAATAAATCAATAGATGATGATTGCCTTCTTGTTTATCTACGTAGAACTAAACCTACATTCAATCGGCAACTCTGCGTCCTTTTTGTCTTCTACAATACTTATATGAGCTCATTCGTAATCGCTATGGTTAATTCTGAGCTGTATAAAAATATCTCCATTGTTGAGACCAATTTCCTAACAAAAATATTTGATGTTGGTTCGCATCCGAGGTAACGAGTGATAATGCTGCAAACCTTTCAGTGTTTACATGCATTTTCTAATTTTATTTTGTAACATAAAAAAACACGCAGTTGACAAACTCTGCCTCTTATACGCCCACACAATAATTAAGATTCACAAGGTACCCATGGATCGTTTTGCTGAACGTGTAACTTAATCCCAGAATGCGATTTATATATAGCCTCCATTAAATACGTGCGGTAATCGAATGATTCACCTTTGGACTGATAAGAGAGATTAAAAATCAACCCAACACAATGACTTTCCAGCCTGCATTTTCAGAATCTATTGCCCTAACCACTCACCCATATTCTGCAACAGGATTGAAGCAGGCTGTTATCTCATTCCGAATTTGTCGCTATTTTGTAAGCACTTAAGGTCGTCTCTGAGCGTATCAGGTATTGATTAATTTTTGTTATTTCCCAATTCTTGTGTTTTAGCATGCATTGGAAATGTTGAAGATGACATGGTTGCGTGTTTGTCGTTATCTGTTTAAGCCGCGCCAGCACGAACAATTTATCAGCAATTAAAATGATCAGTATTGCTGGAGTCCTGCAGAAACATGGACGATGTGCCAGTCGCGGTCGCTGAGGTGGGTGCAACGTCTTTGGTTTTCTCAGTGATCACACGAGGCGAGGCAGTATCCGTGAAGAGCTACACAGTTTTTTAACGTAATCACAACCTACACACAAGTACACACTGTATCAGGTACTTACAACCGTAACCTTTGACTGATTGCTTGGGGATTCTACGATACGAATAGTGTTTGATATTTCTACTGAATACTTTTGATGACATAAGGTTGAAAATATAGTTGAAAGCAGTTATATAGGGCTCCAAGATATACTACTTATTGGATCTGACCCGTGAAGATCTGGGGTAGAATAGGTCTTCAGCAACCCATGCTTGACGTAAAAGGCGACTATGCTTGTCATAAGAGGCGACTAACGGGATCGGTTGGTCAGACTCGCTGACTTGGTTGATGCATGTCATCGATCCCGATGGCGTGGATCGATGCTCATGATATCAATCACTTGATTGTCTGGTCCAGACTCGATTATTTACAGACCGCCGTTATATAGCTGGAATATTGCTGAGTGTGGCGTAAAACAACGTTAACAAACCAACCAGCCAACTAAATATGTTTCGGTTCCAGAAAACACATGCTTAAGTATTTAATGCTTTAACCAGAAACTTTGATGGTTCTAGCTACTTTGTAAGGAACGCTAGTGGTTCTTCACGTTTGGATCATGTCACTTAAGAATTCGGAAAACACGTTATTACTACATCAGAATCTTAAACCAGAGAGTCAGATGGTTCTAGTTCAGTAAATAACAAAGTTAAAAGGAAATTCGGGTTTGTATCATGCCCCTTCCGGTTTCGAATAACACTTTTTGTTTGTTTGTTGTTCAACGCCGTGCTCAACAACTTTCCAGCTATATGACGGCGGTCTGTAACCAGACAATCTAGTGATTGATTTCATCAGCATCAATCCACGCCATTGGAATACGATGACATGCATCAGCCAAGTCAGAGAGCCTGACTACCCGATTCCGTTAGTCGCCTCTTACGACAAGCATAGTCGCCTGTTACGGCAAGTACGGTTGCTGAAGACCTATTCTATCCCGGATCTTCACGGGTCACTTTCTTACTGCATTTGAGCTTTATACTAGAAAGGCCCATGGTTCTAGCTCCAAAATATCTGCAGACGCCGAGTTGGCAGTAAACATACTTTGCAAATCCTGCAATCGACCGAAATCTGCATGGAAGTTTACGAATTTCGGATTTCGATTTCGTAACGCGATTTTGAAATGACTTTCCATAGACTCGTCAGGCAAGAGTGGAAACTGGACTTTTATAGTCGGTTTACTCCCTTGCCTCGGGAAGATGATTTCAGAACACATTCTTCTCACATTAAAATTGGGCAGTCGGGTGGTCTAGTGGTTGCAGCGTTCGCTCGTCACGCTGAAGACCCGGGTTCGATTTCCGACATGGGTACAATGTGTGAAGCCTATTTCTGGTGTCCCCTGTCGTGATATTGCTGGAATATTGCTAAAAGCGGCGAAAAACCATACTCACTCACATTAAAATCATGACTAGAAAGTCACATACGAGTAGTTCCTGCACAGTTTGTGATAAAGTAACTGGTTGTTCCGGTTTGGACTTTTCACTTCCGGTTTGGACTTTTCACTTCCGGTTTCGGAGGACACACTCTTACTTCAAAACTGAATTATAATGGATCATCAATGTTAAAGTAATGGGTATGGCTTGGAGTGTGTCAATTGCCCATAAAAATGGCTTACTTAAAAACTAAAACACATTTAATTTAAACAAATTACTTTCACTGTAAATTAATTTTAACTGTACAGCATTTTGGTACTTTCGCCGCCAAGCGCCTTTACTTTTGACGTGCAGAAGAAAACTAAAAAGATGCAACTTGCGATGTTGATACATAATTCCTAATTTCAATGTTGTCTATGTAGAGCTTTGAAATGATTTATTTAGTAACTTTTATAAAAAGAAATCGACCAGGAGGAGACAAAATAGATATCGGGAAACGGCGGTAGCGTTTTAATATATGTAGTATGGAGAAAATATATGGAATTATTTCAAGTGACAGATTCAGAGGGATAGGGATTTGAAGACATGTACCCAATACAAATAAATACGCTATGTGAAAAGCGTGAATCCAATATGGTTGCCAAGCCACGTTACAAATGACCTAAGTCAAAGATAAAATGTCAAGCATTTAATCTGCAGAAACATGTGAAGTTTGACATTCCCTAATAATAGGCGGCAATAGGATAGCAGAAATCCAAAAATGAAGGTCAAGGTCACGGGGATCTCAGCCCATTAGTGACCATCCCGTGCAATTCCGGGACAAACCGAAGGCTTGTAGGTTACGGAAGGATGCGAATGGTGATTACTGGATCTTAGCCCTTTTAAGTTGTCCGGCAGAATACAGAGTCCTGTCTTCCGAGCACAAAAGTATGTTTTCCTTGCCTCTACGGCCGAAGCGACTCGTATTTTTTTACCCGGATCTGGGGTATCGGAATGTTCTGAAAGGTCTGTCCGTCGTCCGTTTTGGGACTTGTCCAGCTAAACCTTTCCTTGCCATTATGTCCTCAGCCGGTTTGTGTACAAAGCTGAAACTTTGCATGAATCAACCAAACGATAGTGTCTATAAATGCTGTGAAAGTCAACTCCATCCACGGTCAGGTTTGCTTTCTATGGCAACCAGACAAATGGAATCAAACAAATACAATAGGTTTTTGAGGAAACATCTGAGTATTTTTGCCAAAAGTTGAGCAGTATATAATCACAAGGCTGATCGATGCCGAGTGACGGGTCGCTGTGCATATCTGGGTGACTAGACACTATGATAGTAGGTTCGAATCCCAGGTTCTCCTTGGTCTTTCATGGTTTGTCAGCACCATACCCGTGCTCGTAGATTTCACCAAAGTGGTAAGCGTCCTCCCCCAGCAAGCTGACACACCGTGGTCTCGTTCACTGATCACATCTATAGTGCCAAGCTATGATATAAGTGTCACCGACCATCTCTATATTCTAACCGTTGACATCCGTGTTTCCGGTCATCTTCACATTCTGAACCATAGACATCTGTTTGACCTTATTCTAAACCATTGACCGGCGTGTAAGCGATCATCTCTGTCACAAGACCATTGACACGCCTTTGACCAATCTGGTCTTTGATCTAAACCATTGACGCGTTTGACCAATCAAGTCTTTTATCGAAACCATTGACACACGTTAGAGCCCTATTTCATTCTACATCCGATTGACCCGTGAATCTTACAATTTAAACTCTTGACATCAATATGATCGATCACTTTAAAAATAATTGACATTCATGTGACCGGCCACCGTTATATTCAAAACCATTAATATCCGTGTGACCTATGATTTCTATACCCTTAACCACAGACAATCGTACCGGTCAACTATATATGCTAAACCAATCACTTATTTAATGGGGCGGTCGGGTAGCCTAGTGGTTAAAGCGTTCGCTCGTCACGCCGAAGACCCGGGTTCGATTCCCGACATGGGTACAATGTGTGAAGCCCATTTCTGGTGTCCCCCGCTGTGATATTGCTGGAATATTGCTAAACGCGGCGTAAAACCATACTCACTCACTTAAACCATAGTATCCATATCTTAAATCACTTATATCTATGTGACTGTTCGCCTCTGTTTGAAGCACCGATAGTCTGCCGCATAATTAATAATTATATACATGATTCCAACAAAAGAAGCATGATACTGATAATGGACATGTTTTCAAAAACTCAATACCCTTTTTCCCGATGACAGAGATGTTAAATCAAGACAATATCCAACCATTTAGTACACATTTTCAGAAATTATTACCCGTAACCACACTCACCCATTTTCTACAACAGGATCATATAACGCTGTTACCTCTTTCACAAATTTGTTGCCATTTTGTATGCACTTGCATTGTCATTGCGCATATCAGGTATTGATTAATTCACACGGTTTTTTCCCAATTCTGGTTATTTTAGCTTGCACAGGAAGTGTTATAGGCGACATGCTTGCGTGTTTGTAGTTGTTTATCTGTTGATGCCGCGCCAGGCACGCACCTTTAATCAGCAATTAAAATCGTCAGTTTTGCTCGAGTCCTGTGCTGATGTGCCAATCTCGGTCGCTAAGGTGGGTTCAACGTCTTTAGTCTCTTAGTGAACACTACTTAAGGCGGAACAGTATGCGCATATAGCGTCTACATGATCACAACCTGTTACAGACTTTATCCGTTAGTTAGAGCCCTGCAACTGGGGATGTCTCATCGCCAGAAGAGAGGTAGGTGAATTTTGTTAGAGTATTTAGAAATGTCATTGGAGGTCGACTTTGAAGCACAGCCATGTTACATTTGTGCTTCAGTGAAGCTGTCTGTTTTAACGTTGCATCTGGGGATAAGGAAGTTAAAGAAGATCAGAGAAACTTTTGTTTTAGTTTGTTGTTTAACGCCGCTCTCAGCAATATTCCAGCTACATGACGGCGGTCTGTAAATAATCGAGTCTGGACCAGACAATCTAGTGATTGACACCATGAGCATCGATCCACACCATTGGGATACGATGACATGCTTCAACCAAGTCAGCGAGCCTGACCACCCGATCCCGTTAGTCGCCTCTTACGACAAGCATAGTCGTCGTTTAAGACAAGCATGGGTTGCTGAAGACCTATTCTACCCCGGATCTTCACGGGTCGTTAGACTCATTCATACTTATTGAACCGTCATTTCATATTCTGGGTGGGAATGGTGGGGGTGCTGGAATTTTATAGTGGTACAGCTGCAATTACTTTTGTATTTAATACTATGCGCCTGTGTTCGAAAAAGACATCGGCCCGTAGGCCCGGGGCCGACAGATTTGTTATCGGACTGATAGTTATATATTTCAGCAGGCCCTTACTGCCTGCAGTTTTTTTAAGTACATTTAACTACGGTTATAACGAACTACGGTTATAACGAACTCAAGGGACTACTCATTTTAGTTCGTTATAACCGTAGTTCGTTATAAGCACATATACAGCATAACTACAGCAAGTCGTCGGGACCAAAAAAGTTCGTTATATCCGTCAGCTCGTTATAAGCGTGTTCGTTATAACCGTGGTTTGCTGTAATTACTTTTTGAGCATTATTTAAGTTAGGTGATGAACATAACTTTCATATTTATAAACAGTACGATTATACCTTTCAAATGACGTATAGTCGCAAAGGTGTTTTACAAGCTGGTAATTTCCTGACACGTGTAGGCTTCATCTATCACCGCCGAGTCTTTGGGAACTCGGTGTGATAGCAGTAAAAGCGTCTGGTTGACTGGTTGTGTCTTGTATTTTATATTGCAAGAATATGTCTCCCTGCTTCAGCTAAAATGTTTGGGCCTTCAGTTTTTCCACTGGGCCTACAGTTTTTTTAAATGTGCTGGGCATCTTTAGACTCTCAGTTTACTCTGCTGAGTTTCAAACACTGCTATGAGCCTAATTATGTGTGTAAAAGAACATCTATAAACGATGTGTGTTTTTTGTGGCAGGCAATGCTTTTAAAGGTCTGAAACATTTTTTTAAAGCTTTTTACGGGACAGTTTATTGACAAAAAACCCCAGCAAACACCCACCCCTATTCCCCGAATATCAAATACTTGCTGGGGCGGTGGGGTAGCCTTGAGGTTAAAGCGTTCGCTCGTCACGCCAAAGACCCGGGTTCGATTCCCGACATGGGTACAATGTGTGAAGCCCACAAGAAGCTGGTGTCCCCCGCCGTGATATTGCTGGAAATTGCTAAAAGCAGCGTAAAACCATACTCACTCACTCAAATGCTTGGTCCCTAAGATAAGCATTTGTATTCTTTGGAAGCCAGTGTTGACTTGTTTATTACAAAATATAAGGTTTAATTCAAAGCATAGTTGGAATCTTGAAGAAGAATTGGGTTTTTTTGTGTGAAAAAAGACGGACTTAACGTATTCGACATCCCCGGAGGGCAATGTAGGCTTAAAGTGAAAACAAACGACCCGTTGATCGCAACATGAGACACGGTTGCGAATGTGGGGCGTTTAAGTTTTGAGTAGTAATGCATTACAAACGGATCCACGATCGCGAACCTTTCGTGTTTCCGCCGCGATCGAGAGGACTTTTGTTTTGCCCACGAGTGTAATGGCTGTCACTCACGCCTGGTTGTCTCGTCCGAGTTGTTCAACCGCCTGGCCAGTGAGTAGGATGGGCCCCTGTTGGAATCAGGAATATCGTAGTCACCGGGACCAGGACCTACAACACAAAATTGACAAAATCAAGCATGAAATACTCATATCCACCGCCAATATGACATGTCTGGTTATATGCAAGGCATCAGTCCTCTGGAAACGAGCACGTCCGTGATTTTCAGTCTAAGTCAAAGTTGTTGCCATGGAAACTCGAAAAAAATATTTTTTTCAAAATCCCAAACTATCAAAAGGCACTAGTTCACCACTAGACCTATCTATGTGCCAAGTTTGGTGAAGAAATATTGTACGTTTTTCAAGATCTGCTCCGTAAAGGAGGACTACCGCCATATTCAGTCTAAGTCAAAGTCGTTGCCATGGAAACTCGAAAAAATATTTTTTTCAAAAATCCCAAACTATCAAAAGGCACCAGTTCACCACTAGACCTAGCTATGTGCCAAGTTTGGTTAAGATATCTCTCGTGTTTTTTTAGTTCTGCTCCGGAAACGAAAAGTGACGGACGGAAGGAAGGACGGACGGCCAGCACCCATTCCTATATCCCCCCTTCCACTTCGTGGCGGGGGATAATAAATGTTCGAAATTATACAGAAAAAATACATTTGGAACAGGTTTTACAAAAAAAATGTGGACAAGGGAGAGGGAAGACGTCGTGACAGGAAACACGGATTTAGATTTTAGCCAATATCATGTCAAAGCAGGCTGTTAATCAATAAATCAACATGATTAAATAATCAGTAAAATCATAAGAAAACATGCCAAATGTTTAACATGAGGGAGCTATTCGGAATGATTATACCATGGGATGGCCGCGGACAGACCCTTCCCAAATTCACCACTCATAGGTGATGGCGTTCTGGCAGTCTAAGGCGTCAAACTTTGCGATGCAGAGTAGTGTCCCTTAGCTGGCAGTATCTGTGTTGGTTCGAATCCAATTCATCTACCTGTGTTCGGTACATGACACCGTGTTTCGGTAATTTGGGATTTCCGCGTTCATCGAGCTGACTATAGTCTCTGTTACAGATCCCAGGGCATAAATTTAATTAAACATTTGGGGCGGTCGGGTAGCCTAGTGGTTAAAGCGTACGCTCGTCACGCCGAAGACCCGGGTTCGATTCCCGACATGGGTACAATTGTGATGCCCATTTCTGGTTTTCCCCCGCCGTGATATTGCTGGAATATTGCTAAAAGCGGCGTAAAACCATACTCACTCACCTCCCTAATAAAACATTTATCCATTATATTGCCATCCCCCTTCTCAGCTCGGGCAGTATATACTCATCTCCTCAGATAAAATTAACATACGTGGGGGGTCTTTTATACTTTAAGTTTATTCCGAGGAAAATATGTTAGTCAACGAATTGACACGGTGGTTTAACTGAAATATAGACCGTCTCCGTGGTCTAGTGGATAGAGCGTAAGCCCAGAGAGCGGAAGGTCGGTGGTTCGATCTCCGGCCGCGTCATACCAAAAGACGTTAAAAGATGTTACTTGTTGTTACCCTGCCTGCGCTCGGCTTAAATGGATAAAGTAAGGACTGGTCGGCACGGAGTCAGTATACTGTGTCTGAGTGGGGTATTCTGTTAAACTGCGGCATGGTATCTCAATGGGCCAGCACTGCAAAGGTCTAGTTACACGCATCCACACGTGTACACACATAGATAAAATAACCTTGAACGCGACGTTAAACATATTTCACTTCACGCACCTTAACTGCAGTACTGTTGACAGCAGCGCTAAACTCATTCACACAACCCCTTGCCACAAACTTATCTACAGCAGCCGCCGTACAGCGTTAATACACGGCAGTCGTATTAACTACGTAGATACACCCTGATCAGCTAAAACAGACATAAATTCACGCAGATAGCAGAAGCTACTGCGGATTTGTATAAATAAATGATTTTTTACCATCTCCATGGCGTCAGGATTACTGACCCCCTATCACATTAACCAAGTTCGTTTTAGTTTATGCAACAGCGCTTGTGTGTAATTGGGAAATGGGAAAGGAGATGTTGTGACATCGATGTGATATCGCCTAGTGATGGATACACGAGTACCGTTATGCACATGTTGCTAATAGGTCCGACTGAAGAGATACATCATGCGCCGAGGCGTTGATCAACAAATGGCAGAAATAATCGTGTCGGCTTCATTATAGATGGGATGGGAGCTGTGGGGTCATGGAAACTGTATTACTCTACTTGTTGACAAATTACAGATTGCCGCAGGCACTATTCCAGATGTAGAACCGAGGGCCTAAAAGAATAGGCGCAGTCATCTCTGATACCATTCGCGACCAACTCGTGTTATTCCGGGACAAGCCTTCTTGCGGGTTACGGAAAGGGGCGAGTGGTGACGAATGGGCTGATACAATTAGACGGGTTGCTCAGGCGCCGAAGACAATGACTCGATATCCACTAGTGGCGGACATGATAACCTTTGTAGGCCAGTCGGTCACATCTGATTTTTTGTCAGCAGCTCTGTTAAAATAATTTTGAATTCGGTCTTAGAATCTTAACACCATAAATACAGTCAGTGAGTGAGCTGGAGAGTGAGTATGGTTTGACGCCGCTTTTAGCGATATTTCTGCAATATCACGGCTGGGGACACCAGAAATGAGCTTCACACATTATATTCATGAGAAATCGAACCCTGATTTTCGGCGTGACGAGCGAACGCTTTAACCACTTGGCTACCCCATGAAGACAGAACGTTGTTAGAAAAAAGTAGGGGCAGTAGCTCACCTGATTATGGTAATACATTCACTACAACTGCTTCACAAGAGCGTGTTTGCTGGGCATGTGTTATCGATTATTCAGAGTCTTTATTCATTCAAATATGATAAATATGATAAATTTGGATTATGTTTTGAAATGTCTATGACGCAGTTAGTGAGTTGGGTTTAACGCCGCTTTTAACAGTATTCCAGTTATATCACGGCGTGTCAGCTTAATGTGGGAGGAAAGCCTGAAGTGATGCAGGTCTCAGACGTTTACCACTTCGGTGAAACCCACGAGCACAGGTATAATGCTGACAAACCTAGAAACATAATCGGGGTGAACCGGGATTCGAACCCACAATCATAGGTTTCTGGTGTGCCCAAGGGACGCAACTCAGCACAGCAAATTGCGGCGCCTTAGATGACTGGGCCACCCGTGCCCCCTCTATGACGCAGTAATGTTGATACACAGAACACACGTACAGCAACAAGATGCCTCCTCTTTCAGGATATTTAAGACATGACGAGTGTATTACAATCATATCAGTTTCCTCTAGCTTATAAATGTGCATCCTAATGGGAAAATAAGTCTAAATAACGTAAAGAATATGAAAATAACGTCAAATTAAGAACAAGACCAAAGTGAGCTAAAGTTCAGATATTAATTATCCATAATCACAACTTATCCAAAAACATATTTGAACACATTTAGGTGTCATCATAGATAGACGTAATCGAGCTTAATTCATGTTGGGAGGTTGGGTAGCCTTGTGGTTAAAGCCTTCGCACGTCACGACGAAGGCCTGTGTTCGATTCCAAGAAGGTTACAATGTGTGAAGCCAATTTCTGGTGTCCTGGTATTGCTGGAATAAAAGCGGCGTAAAACCATACTCACTCACTCACTCACTCACTCCACAGAGATGCTGTACGCAGACATCCATGGCAAAACAACGTACAAACACGTGGTGACAGATCATGATTCTTGACGGGTCCAACATGAAGCTGAAATGATATCACTCACAAGGGCGAATCCGGCATTTTTGAAAGGGAAGTCCAAAACATCAAAATACTCCCCCAGATAATTTACTGCCTGACCCCCTGGATCCGGCTATGCTGGATGGGGCCACAAAACAAACCTGGCTTGTCTTGAAAAAAGACTGGACGTCTGCTTCCGAACGACTTTTTGGGTCCTCTTCCCCAATAGCCTGAGTTTGGCCGGAAGTCGGGGCCAGGCGTCTCAAACCCTGAAGGTCAAGGTCGAAAAAAGTTAATGTAATTTTTTTGGATGAACGAGCAAATTTAGCACATTAAATTACGTAGAAAAATATTCCTGTATCAACAGTTATTACATGTTATGGGAATTCGTTAATACCCATGGGATATGAACATTGATATTTTGTGTCCACAGATTCCATTGCTATACTGGTTGGTTTGTTGTTTAACGCCGCACTCAGCAATATTCCAGCTATATGACGGCGGTCTGTAAATAATCGAGTCTGGACCAGACAATCCAGTGATTAATATCATGAGCATCGATCCACGCAATCGGGATCGATGACATTCATCAACCAAGTCAGCGAGCCTGACCACCCGATCCCGTTAGTCGCCTTTTACGACAAGCTTAGTCACCTTTTACGGCAAGCATGGGTTGCTGAAGACCTTTTCTACCCCGGAATCTTCACGGGTCCATTGTTATACTGAACGCGACGTGGTAAACAGGGACATTCAAATTAGTCATAGTTATCACTGTACGTAGAGACATCTAACGGGATCAGGTGGTCAGGCTCGCTGACTTGGTTGAAGCATGTCATCGTATCCCAACTGCGTGGATCGATGCTCATGGTTTCAATCATTGGATTGTCTGGTCCAGATTATTTGGAGGCCGCCCTCATAAATCTGGAATATTGCTGAGAGTGGCGTCAAACAACAAACAAATAGACAAACAAACAAAACGTAGCTTACCGTGCGTGTCTACGGGCTGCACGAGGTCGTCGGGGGGCCCGGACACGACGTCGATGCAGGTGTGTTTGGACGCCATGCTAAAGCAGGGCCCGCAACTCCCCATGGGGTTCATCGTGTCATACATGGCGGGCCCTATGTCTGACGCACCTGGATCCGATATAGAATACAAACAAACCTTTAGCCAAATCACAATCGAATAGAATATGTAGGCCAACGTCAAAGTCCATATTGTTCTTGAGTGACCTAACCTCTCAAGTAGTCTGGAAACAAATAGGTCACCAGCACTCCATCCTTTTCGCAAAAGCCGTTTTAAGGGATCAGGTTGTCAGTTTCGAAGCGTGGTTGGTCATTATATCAACCACTGGTTTGTCTGGGCTAGACTCATCATTAACTACGTTTTTTAACGCCGCACTCAGCAATATCCCAGCTATATGGCGGCGGTCTGTAAATAATCGAGACTGGACCAGACAATCCAGTGATTGACATCATGAGCATCGATCCACGCAATTGGGATACGATGACATACATCAACCAAGTCAGCGAGTCTGACCACTTGATCCCGTTAGTCGCCTCTTATGGCAAGCATAGTCGCCTTTTACGGCAAGCGTGGATTGCTGAAGACCTATTCTACCCCGGACCTTGACGGGTTACTCCAGAATGACCTACATGTAAGCCTGACATTTACCGTGGATGGAACCCTCCAGCTGTTAGACGTGTGCCCCCACCTGTCAAACTTCAACTAAATGAGATTCTCGTTTCCGTTAATTTGGGTCTCACTTCCGGTTTTTGATTTTCATTAACAGATTTATTTCATCTTTTAACGTAACGGTGGAAAATCAAAGCAAATCTTGAAGTATCTGGTTTACCGAATGAATAAAGCTGTCATACCGCTTACTTGGGAGTAGACCAACATTCACGTACGAAGTAGCTAGCCATAAATTGAAGTGGTCTGCAAGCGCCCACCGCCCAATTGAGGAACGGAACACGTCATTAACGTCAACATCGATCAACGACGTCGGTGTGCGATGGCTCAGTATGTCAGCCAGGTCATCGTTTCCAAAACGACGTTCCAATACTTGTACTTATAAATTAACAACATAAGCGGCTCTTTGATTGGTTTGTATGATTGCAGAGCTATAGATAAGCTTTTGGTTATTTTGGACCGCCTCCGTGGTCTAGTGGTAGAGCGTCCGCCCGGAGAGCGGAAGGTCCGGGGTTCGATCCCCGGCCGCGTCATACCAAAAGACGTTAAAAGATGGTAGTTGTTGTTACCCTGTCTGGCGCTCGGCATTAAAGGGCTAAAACAAGGGCTGGTCGGCTCGGAGTCAGTATACTGTGTCTGAGTAGGGTATCCATGTTAAACTGCAGCATGATATCTCAGTGTGCTGGCACTATAAATCGGCATGCACCCTATATAAGCGCAATAGTCTTGGACGCGACGTTAAACCCAATTTCACCTCACCTTTTGTTATTTTAAGGTATTTTACCCTGGGGTTTAATTTTGATAGGGTATCCACAAGTTTTAAAGGGTATTCAAATTGTATTTACCCACCTGTTTCTTGACATTTGGGTATTTTAACTTAAATCTTGTTTCGTAACAATCCCTGTAAACCATTTAAAACTATGTGAATAGTAGTATACCCGTCTGCATCTGCTTGAGGCTCCCTCACCTTGAAGCCATTTTTTCAATCTCATTAAAATCAGATCTTAGTTCTCGCTGTCACTAAACACAGATCTGAGGACAACCTATTACGGGTCACGTCCGAACGACCTTTCATCCAACCAATCAGAGCGTCGCTTACCATATCATGAAAGTCGAAATGTGTTTTCTGATCATGCAACCACGAAATATTTAACACGGGGTATTCCAAACGACAGTTACGGGTTTTATGATTATATCCATTACAATCTAGGCCATCTTTAAGCCATTCCAGAATGTTCTTCTTATCAGTTTATAATTTTTTATCGAGAATACGTCAAAATATGTTTCGAAACGTAGTCGCCAGTTGGAAACTAGTGTCGTAAAGTTCGAGAAAGCTGCCTTCTGATTGGCTAATGTCGATTTCATTGGTCGGTCAAAATTAACGAAAGGTCGTTCTGACGTGACCCCTAATGGGACGTCCTCAGATCTTTGTTCAGTGGCAATTCGTCACGCCTTGCAAAGTCAATTAAACAAATTGCATATGTTTATCATCGATTTAATTTTGGATAGTCTTCACATTCAGGGAAACATATGTCGTGAAATGATTAACGTTCATGGACAAAATTTCCTAAAACGTGAAAAAGTATTTCCATGCGCATGTAGCCTTAGTTTACATTGGTGGTATGATTCAACGTTCTTTTAGCGAAGCCTTGTGGATAGCTGGCGAAAGGGTCACTTTGATGTGTAAAAATACAAGGATCCATTGATAAGTTCTATGCCTCACGCAGAAGGAGTTGCGTAATATTCTACCATGATATTGATGAATGCTTGATTCTGATTGGTTAAAAAGAGGTTTCCTTTTTGCTACGGAAACCCTTTTCAAATATATTAAGTCTTTTCACACAAAAAATGTGCGCACAGCATACATATCGATTCATAAAAAAATGGCTGACGATCGATCACCCCCATATAAACTGTAAAACAAATCTTTATTTCCTCTAATACACGCTGGGTCTCTAATACCAGCCAGGTCTCTAATACACGCCGAGTCAAGGGCTCTCGCGAAATTAATAGACGGCGTAGCGTCAAATTGAGGAAATACGGTAGTTTGATATCGGATGTTTGGGGCGTTCTAGGCCGCAATCCTGATTGCTTCGATGATGACATTAAAAGATTTAACGAAGGCATATCTTTTGCATACAAATGAAATGTTTATGAAACTGTTAGAGAAATGTTCTATGGTGACCAGAATCAGAACAATTTAAGCTATCTCATTGAAATAACCGACAATGAAAGTAAAATATATCATTACAAAAGTTAGTGACGAGGTATATCCACAAAAGTTAGTTTGTTTCCTGTGACAAGTCAATCCACGAAGCAAGGGTCACACCCCTTCCTGGTTAAAAAAGACTGTAGAAGAGCTCTACTGTTCATATGTGATTTCTAACCTTTCTCCTCGAGGTAGCTCTTGCCAACTCTGCCCTTGAGGGTGACGGTTCGGTGGTTCCAGATAAGGTTCGCCCCACACGGGTAATCCGCAGGGCCGGGGTACCGGGTTGCTGAGGGACGAGATGCTTAAACCTTTAACTATCAATCCGGTACATGAATGTTTCACGTGAAACGTGGCTGATCACATACTCTAAACACGTGGATATTTTATGATATTATTTATGATGACTTGTAAAGGTATATCTACTGAATGAGTATGTAAAAACATCAAATCGAATCAAATTTGAAGTAAATACAAAATAACCAAGCCAATTTGAAATTATTTACTGTGATGAAATATTGAAATTGTTGTATTGTATGAATATCTGTTTGAATATGTACTTAGCAATGACAGACACATACTAACAAAGAATTTACCAAGCGATGGAACTGGTTATAAATAGTACTCAAAACTGGGGGCGGCCGGGTAGCCTAATGGTTAAAGCGTTCGCTCGTCACGCCGAAGACCCGGGTTCGATTCCCGAAACGGGTACAATGTGTGAAGCCCATTTCTGGTGTCCCCCGCCGTGATGTTGCTGGAATATTGCTAAAAGCGGCGTAAAACCATACTCACTCACTAATGTATGACGGTCGGGTAGCCTAGTGGTTAAAGCGTTCGCTCGTCACGCCGAAGACCCGGGTTCGTTTCCCGACACGGGTACAATGTGTGAAGCCCATTTCTGGTGTCCCCCGCCGTGATGTTGCTGGAATATTGCTAAAAGCGGCGTAAAACCATACTCACTCACTATTTAATGTATGTTTTCTTGTCTGTGATATGTTACATATCAGTGTAGGTTTAGGTAGAAATTATTTACGTATATGTTTCTTCAGTCTCCCGACCAGCGAGTACTGCGGCGCTGACTTTCTGGTCAGGTCGATCTTTGGCGTGTAGTCCGCAGGCCCGGGTACATGGTCGCCTGCAGCAGACATAGGGGCAGTAGCAAAACAGAGTTAGATGTATAGAATAGCTTGTAGATCAACAACACAACAAAGTTATTTCTCTATATTTTGACAGATTGGCAATCAGCGTATAGCATCTACCCGAGGCAAGGGCGTTAACTGACTTAACGTTTTATAGTAAGTTCACTCCCTTGCCTCGGGAAGATGGCGTATAGTTGCCATGGTGATGACTAATCGTTACCACCATCTTCAGAAAATATAATCGTTATGTCTCCAATGATAATAATAATAATAATCATCATCATCATAAGAGAAATATCGAAATACAGAGTCGCAAGGCGCCTTTGTGATGCAGTATCGTCATCCAGATTTTTATCATCATCATCATCATCATCATCATCACAAATACTACAGTACAATGTATCTTAATCCATGATGCATTTTCAACAACATCGCAACCATCATCTGCAGCAACATCAGTAAAATCGAAGTGCCACATTATCCTGTATAGGTAATGCGCCAGCGTGATGAAATATCATTACTATATCTTTAGGAAAGCATTACCGAGGCTTGTGAGCGGCGTTCCCCCCTGTGGTACGATGTAGTCCCCCATCGGCGTCCGATTGACTGAAAACAGTAAACAAACATCGGTTTAATCAAACACTATATTTTCTTAACATGGACACCTGTCTACACGTGGGGTGATATTAGAATAATGATGCCACTGTCATCATACGTTCTCTTGCTATCAGGTGGCAGAGTTGCGTCCCTTTGGCACGAAAGAAACCTATGGTCGTGAGTTCGAATCCCGGTTCGCTACGTTCGCTGGGTTTGTCAGCACCATGCTCGTGCTTGTGGGTTTCACCAAAGTGGTAAACATCTTAGACCCGCATCACTTCGGGCTTTCCTCCCATAGTAAGCTGACACGCCGTGATATAACTGAAATATGTTAATAGTGACGTCAAACCCAACTCGCTCATTCCTCATTCGTGACCAACTCGTGTTATTTCGGGACAAGCCGAATAGCGACTCGTGCCCCTCTCGTGGCCATTTGTGCGCCCGGTTTCCGTCTTAGCGCAGACGGGCATACCTAAAACAATTGTCAACTCGTTGCGTAATGGTTCACATATATTTCCCCATATATTATATATATTTCAGATGCAATTAAAAGTACATCGGGACATGCGGAATTATACAGTATGATTGAACACATTTAACTGTGTCTTGGGTATATTTTTAGAGTTAACACATATGTTAAATCAAAAATTGTTTCTGAGGGATTCTTTGACAAAAGCTTGAAATCATATGCGCATTCTGATTGGTTTGTCGTATTTTCGCACATAACATTCATCGATAGGGGGACGAGTCTTCTTGCAGGTTACGGAAAGGGGCGAGTGGTGACGAATGGCTCATTCCTATGATCGGACACGCCGTGGCATGGTTGAATTATTGTTCAAAACGGCCCAAAACCCATCTCCCTCGTACCAGGGTGAAAGGATTTGTTCTGTTTGCCGAAGGTTACCGCGATTATACTGTGTCACCACTAAGTGTAAATGTATCTCGTTGGCAAATTGAAAGCTTGTTTTTTGTTGGTTGTTTAACGCCGCACTCTGCAATATTCCAACTATATGACGGCGGTCTGTAAATAATCGAGTCTGTTCCAGACAATCCAGTGATTGAAGTCATGAACATCGATCTACGCATCGATCTATACAAGTGCATATCAGAAGGGTATTACACTAGTCTAACTCCGCCTTAATGTCATAGGAGAAAGCGGAACTCGGTTGAATGGTGGTCAGTCACGAAGATAAAAAAAAATCCATATGTGATCAATAACATAAAGAGTTCGGGTTAATATTTTGATGAAAGATTGTTGATGAAATAGCGATAGCAAGTGGTAAACTCTTCCATACTCAAAGTTAGTCTTTATTACAAAAACAACGAACCCAAGACCGATATAAAGTTCAACATTCAACACGTAAAAAAAAATGGGCCTGACGATTACGTACCGAGCCCTCTTGGTAAATCAGTGGAATTAGGAATTTTAGTTTCCAAAACCACAGGGAATAGTGTAAAAAAATAAATATATAATATCTAAAAAACATGTTTTGAAGTGATCTCAAACACAAAATACAAAATTGTCTAACGGGTGAAATGAAAAATTAATTAAAGAAATTAAAAAGAGTACAGAAAACTACGGTTATAACGAACTCAAAGGGACCACCTCTTTTATTTCGTTAAAACCGCAGTTCGTTATATGCATATATATACAGCAAATATAAGCAAATTGCCGGGACCAAAAAATAAGTTCGTTATATCTGTAAGTTCGTTAGAAGCGTGTTCGTTATAAACGTAGTTTACTGTAATTGAAAAGTAAAAGGATTGCTTCTTTCCATCAATAAAGAAGAAAATAATGCTCGTCAAGTTTTAAGGGTCGTAATTAAAGACGGTCACCCACATGCTTATCTACCCACGTTTCTGAGGTGGCATGGGTGGTTCCAGTGTGTAGTAGAGGTCCTCCGTTCTGACAAAACTGGGGTCGGGGCTTTGGGGTGCCTTGGGGGCACGAATTGTCTTCATAATTGTCGATTCTGTCTTCGGCTGTTTCATGTCTTCGTCCGACATGGTTGCTGGTTACTTGACCGCCCCGTGCTTAGCCGTCCTTTATTATGACGTCACAGAAGGGCTCACTAGGCCAGGCGCATCATGACGTGGCGTGATCGTATTGGTTGAAAATGGAACGTGGTCATCTTTGATTTGTTTATTTTTTGTACTTTATGTTGAAAAAGATTTGGGCATTTTTATCCCCTGCCACAATTGGGGCGGGGTATATAGGAACGGAGTCCGTCGGTCCGTCTTTCGTCCGCTTCTCAGAGTGGACAAATTTTCTCCAAAAAATATCTAAGTTTGTGAAATGATTTTCTTTTTACACAATGATTCTGTTGGTCATGGTCTTAAAATGAGTTCGATAATTGGTGTCTTGATCATTTTTCAGAGTTATAGCCCTCCGTACTTTTCAGCTTCGTGCACACTGCGTGAAATGGGGACAAGTATTCTCAGAAACTACTGTAGTTACATGAATGATTTGAATGTTTATATAGGAGGTATTGTCAAGAATGAGTTCGACAATTGGTGCCGTACATGATTTTTTACAGAAGTCTTTTTTGCTCCGTGCTTTTCAACTAAGTGGTGTTTGCAATGGGACAAGTTTTCTCAGAAACTACTGAAGTAACATGAATGAAAGTTTGCATGCTTATCTTAGAGATGCGGTGATAGAAGCTCATGTTGTCAATCACTGAATTATTTACAGGCCGTCGTCATATAGCTGGAATATTTCCGAGTGCGATGTAAAGCAACAAACAAACAAAGCTAAAGATAAGGATTTATTGGACATAATCCAAACTTGACCGTTTAGTACATCTTCAGTATAAATAATAACTTCACGGTTGATGTAAAGCTTGGGATATGATGCCGGTTTGAACATAATTTCAATTATATCACGGCGTGTCTGCTTAATGGAAAAAACCGGAATTGATGCAGGTCTAAGAACCTAATCGCAGACTCCTAATCATAATAATTTTGAAACATATTCCAACATGACAAAATTTACACACTAATTTGCAACCCACCAAGTGGCTGAATTGGTAAGTGATCAGTACATAAGATGACGTCACACTTCTTTCCTTACCAAATATAACAAAACTTATAATTTGATTAGAAACTTTAGTTGTGCTTTGTCATTTTCGTAATCATTTCACCTTTTTTTTCTTATATACTCACGGGTCGCTTTGTAAAAACTGCACAAAATTATACCCTAAGATCGGATCCACGTGCCTTTCCGGTGGTCACATTTTTAACTTCGGATCGTAGTTTATCGGCGACGAACGTGTGCCTTTTTTGTCTTGGAAATTCGGATCCCTTAGGAAATCCGAATAATATGTGAAGAATAGCGAGTTGTGCCGACGAAATGACTGCATACGGCAATGGCTTACGATGATCCGGACATTCTGTCCACTAGCGAAGCGTATTTAATAACTTGCACGCCCTACATCTCCTGAAAGCGCGCTCATTGTGGTTTAAGTTAGTTAGGGTTGCAGCGTTCGCCAAGGGTTTGTAGTATATATATACATGTATGTGGCAATGCAACCGAGCGCCATAGCTGGGTAGGCATATTAAAGGGATCCGAAAGTACCATTAATTCGTCCACTATTTCTGAAATTACTAACCGCATTCGTTGTCACGATGAGTTTCATCCAAGGTGTGCGATGTATCAAATCCACCTGAAACGCAAGACTTTACCTAAGCGCCTTAGCAGTTCTTACGTGCATGGCTGCATTCCCGATTCGATCCGAATTTAGGCAGTTTCCGCCCCTCAGATGAGCATATAGAGGGTCTAACAGTAATCTGCTTGGCATGTTTTAAAAGAAGTTGATTTTAATGCCGCTTTGACAATTCCAGTGATATAACTGCTTGTCAGCTTACTGTGTAGGAAAACTTGAAGTGATGCAGGTCTCAGACGTTTACCACTTTAGTTAAGAGCACCTGTATGGTGCTGACGAAGTCACTAAAGGCGACTATCGGGTGGTCAGGCTCGCTGACTTAGTTGATGCATGTCATCATATCCCAATTGCATGGATCGATGCTCATGATGTCAATCACTGGATTGTGTGGTCCAGACTCGATTATTTACAGACCGCAGTCATATAGCTGTAATATTGCTGAGTGCAGCGTTAAACAGCAAACAAACCAAACATAAAAAGCGCGAACTGGGATTCGAACTCATCATAGGTTTCTGGCATACCCAAGGGATGCAACTCTGTAATGTTGAATGACCCACAGCTCAGGCTTCAACAGGGACATATGGCTTTACCCAGCATTTTTTTGTGAAGAGTTGCATCCCTTAGCTGTGCCAGGATTGGATGATGGTGGTGTGAAGCCCATAGTGTCCTATTCAGGGTATACATTTGGTTTGTTGGCACCATACCTATGCTTATGGGTTTCAACAAAGTAGTAAAATCTCTATGCCCAGATTCAACTCTGGCTTTCCTCCTGCATAATCTGACACAATGTGATAGACATGAATTCAAAGCTGTGTAGCACACGCATGCACGCACACACAAAAACACACGCACACACACACGCTTCACACACAGACAGACAGACACACACACACAGACAGACACACCAGTGACATAATACAGCCTTCTTTCTACACATTCGTGACCAACTCGTATTATTCCGGGACACCTCTCGTGGCCATTTTTGCGACTGGGTTCCGTCTTAGTTCAAACGGGCATACCTAAAACAATTGTCAACTCGTTGCGTAATGGTTCACATATTATTTCCCCATGTATTATATATATTTCAGATGCAATTTAAAGCACATCGGGACATGCGGTATTATACAGTATGACTGAACACATTTAACTGTGTCTTGGGTATATTTTTAGATGTAAGACATATGTAAAATCAAAAATTATTTCTGAGCGATTCTTTGACGAAAAACTTGAAATCATACGCACATTCTGATTGGTTTGTCGTATTTTCGAAAATAACATTCATCAATAGGGGGACGAGTCTTCTTGCAGGTTACGGAAAGGGGCGGATAGTGACGAATGCTTTCAACAGTGTCATGCATAGCTTCTGGGGGGTGTGGGATTTAAAAAATATATGATCTCTTCCCGGAAATGATGAAAAAAAAAAACAGCCAGCAAAGAGAAACGTTTATACACTTTCAGCATCCATTGACCAGTGAAAAAAATGCTAGAAAAAGACAGATACTTTAAAAACTGTTTATTTCCATGTTCAAATATAAGTAGGAAATATCAGGAAATATCAAATAACATAATTTGTTCAATTGGTAAATATTGCAACAATTTCAATACAATCATCCCTGAAATATCATTCAACTCATTCTGTACATACATATACAAATAAAACTATGTTTTTGTACAGTACTTCATTTGTTTAGTTTCTAACGTGACCTGCTTACATGACGTAACCATGGCAACCATGTCCGATAACCATAACCTTTGCTTTCTGTGATCAAAATATATGTTTGTTTATTTTTTAACGCTGCACTCAGCAATGTTCCAGCTATATGATGTCAGTCTGTACATAATTGTGCCTGGACCAGACAATCCAGTGACTGATATTGCGAGCCATGACCCATGTCATGACACGCTATCAACTTTGCGATTAGTTGATTGGCAATAATTTTACATAAATTCATTCCAATAATGACTCTGATTAAATAAAGAAGTTCATGGCAATATTTTCTTGACATACTTGTATCACTAGGCACTGTATTGAGATTTTCTAAGTCAAATAACATTAAAAATATATTAGATTTTTATTCTGTATACTGTCAAGTCCTGTTAATGCGACATGGTTGGCTGCATATGATTATGTCGGATTAACAAGTATGTCGGATAAACGAAATTAAGTAGTATCAACGTTCATGATCGAAAATCGAAACTACACGAAAGATAACGATACAAACACTAATTGTTCATTAATTGTTTATGGTTAAGCAAGTTTATCTCTGCAGCCGTTGTAATATGCAGCTACCAGCCAACTCGTTTCGCATCAAAACACGGGCTGTGTACTCGCGGGCAGATGACCACGGAGTACGCTGATCATTGTGTCAGATTAACGAGACTGATTAATGCGTGATTTCGGTAATTCGTTGCAAATTAGGTGTGTCTGAGTCGGAGTGTCGACTGTCGGATTAATGGGTTTAAATAGCACTGATTTAATCGGTTCCCATCATTAGTGTCCGATGAAGCCGATTGTCGGATTAACGAGTGTCGGATTAACGAGACTTGACTGTAGTTCTAAATCCATGTCAGAAACAAAAACAAATGTAGTAGGTTTGTTAATACAGATTTCTAAATAAAACCCAAAACAAACTTAACAAGCTGAAACCATAAAATTGCATAAGTGATGAGGATGCTATGCTAGCATGACCAGCACCAAAACATAGATCTGCCTAAATAATACCTAAATAGCTTGACTAAATAAATCTGCATATTACAGTATTCATACCACTGAAGTACATCGGTGAGACAAGGGGTGTTCTTTCCTCCAAACAAGGCTAAATGCCACAGATAACACTGTCTGACTGCCTGGCATGGGAAACACTCAAGCAATGAGTCCCCCTTTTAGGCTGTGACGTTGGCGAGGGCAGGGATGATCTCGTAGTAGATGTCGATGCCGCGCAGGAAGACCTTCTCGTTGAGGAACTCGTTGTGGTCATGCAGCAAGATGGGGGTGTGGTTCATCGGGGAGAAACCCAGGGCAGGGATGCCACACTGGAAAGGGGGTACAATTACAGGTGTTATTCTAGGGTGACAGGGTGAAACAGTCATGGTCATATAGTGAAATTGTTCTTATGAAAATGGGCTGATTCTATGTGGTGGTGATTAATGATGACAATATTTTTTTTATGTATGTTTGTAGTATCATTTTATTCCTAATTCATAAAAAAAGTGGGGATGGACAAATAACAATACATATTTTGTTTACATGTTTTTCTGATTGTATATGGTTGAATATGAAAAACGCAACACAAAAAAGAACCCATTCTCAAATCTGCCCCACCCTCTACCTAACCTGCCCCCACCCCTCTAACCAACCTGACCCCACCATCAAACCTGTCCCACCCTCCACCCAACATGACCCCACCCTCAAACCTGCCCCATCCCTCTACCCAACATAACCCCACCATCAAACCTGCCCCACCCTCTACCCAACATAACCCCACCCTCAAACCTGCCCCACCCCTCTACCCAACACAACCCCACCCTCTATCCAACATAACCCCACCCTCAAACCTGCCCCACCCCTCTACCCAACCTGACCCCACCCTCAAACCTGCCCCACCCCTCTACCCAACCTGACCCCACCCTCAAACCTGCCCCACCCTCTACCCAACATGACCAGCCCTCAAACCTGCCCCACCCTCTACCCAACATGACCAACCCTCAAACCTGCCCCACCCTCTACCCAACATGACCAACCCTCAAACCTGCCCCACCCTCTACCCAACATGACCAGCCCTCAAACCTGCCCCACCCTCTACCCAACATGACCAACCCTCAAACCTGCCCCACCCTCCACCCAACATGACCACTCTGGCCTGAACCCACCTCTCTGGTGAACCTGCTGTCTGTGCCAGCAGGGAAGATCTCTGTCTTATACTCCACCCCCCTGAAACAACAATACAGCAGGTAATGTTACATTGTTATTTGAACAATAACTCAGAGAAACTCAAGAGAAAATATCGACTATCCCTTCAGAGCAAATTAATCCCCACAGAGATATAATCTTGACTTCCTTTACATAAATTATGCTTGGCTGTAAATTATGCAATAGATGAACAGATCTTAACCATATATATCTGAATTGTCCATAAATTTACATATTTAGTCAAAATATCAATAAAAGTAGCATTAAAATGATGTTTTTCTCGCCTCCAGTTTGACCATGTGGATGGTAACATTTTTATTTGATTTACATTAGTAGGACTGCTCTATTACCAAGCAGAGCCGTTAAGAGAGGCAGTGCTCAACTGGTTCTTAAATGTTTTCCTGAAGTTTAATGTTAACATCAATCTCATTAAAATCAGATCTTAGTTCTAGTCAAGTCAGAATGACCTTTGGCAAACTTTGACCGACCAATGAAATGACTAACAAGAAGTCGACATTAGTCAGTCAAAAAGCAACTTGCTCAATCTTTACAACAGTAGTTTCAAAATGGCGACTTCCATTACAGACTAAGAAAATTATCGATAAATAATTAAAAAACTGAACCAAAGAAAATTTTGGATTGTGTCATAGATGGCCGTGATTGTATGGCAGTACTTCCCACTTGGGATGGAAAGTCTCTTCCTTTTCCAATGTTTATCCAAATGAAGTTGGAGATAGACGATGAATTTGACGGAATCGGTCGTACAGCCCGCAACTGTCATTCGAAATACCGTGTGATAACCTCTTGAGGTTGCACGATTAGAAAACACATTCCAACTGTGACTTGTCCAGTTTGGTAAGACATGCTCTGATTGGTCCAATGAAAGGTCATTCTGACGTGACCCGTAATGTGATGTCATGAGAACTAAGATCTGATTTTAATGATATTTTGTGTTCATATACATTGAATACGACTCATTTTATGTGTATCATGTTACAATGTATGTTTCATGTCTCTTTCCAAAAGGTGTCTAAAATGTAAAATAAAATAAATAATAATGATAATAACAACAACAATAATAATAATAAAGTGGATTCCAAGAGCGCTAATTCCATCCATTTGCATGCTCGTAGCGCCAACATTAATTAACCAGGGCAATGAATAAGTGTGCACACATTTTTCATTCTCAGCTCCCTAGGGAGTATACTACCTACGTAAGTTGCTTTGTGAGATGCTAGGTTTACAGTCATATTACCATCTCATTCTACGGGGCACCCATTTATACAGCTGGGTGAACAGAGGCACATTTCGAACAAAGTCACTTGCTGAGGAGAAATTACATGTGGTACATGTGCTTCAGTGGGGCAGGACCAAACCCTAGAGTGAGTGAGTGAGTTGGGGTTAACGCCGCTTTTAACAGTATTCCAGTTATATCGCGGCGTGTCAGCTTAATGTGGGAGGAAAGCCCGAAGTGATGCAGGTCTCAGAAGTTTACCATTCTGGTGAAACCCACGAGCACGGGTATGGTGCTGACAAACCGAGAAACATAATCGGGGCGAACCGGGATTCGAACCCACAATCATAGGTTTCTGGCGTGCCCAAGGGACGCAACTCTGCACAGCGAATCGTGGCGCCTTAGACGACTGGGCCACCCGTGTCCCCCCCCCCCCCAAACCCTAGAAACTCTCAGGTATGAAGCTCATGTTGCCTTACTTACGACCATAAGTATAACTCTAATGACCTTCTGTTCCGTCATGTCCGTGACAAAGTCCTTGAATTAAACGTCCTTACAATTGTGGGGACATCCGTCACTTCAAGCAGCATTTATTTATCATTACTACATGCACTGAATGGGGCCCCTTACGAGAATAACTCGGATTGATTGCTCAAATAAATGGACTGCACTATGTAGCCACATTGTTCAGCCATAAATGTATCAATAAATCATTGCTGATCGGAGAACTGTTGGCTGGAATTTGTCAATATATTGTCAGAGATCCAATCTCGTAATTAAAGCGGGAAACACTGCTCCATGTTCGGGTGGGCGACATGTCAGGGTGTTACGTCACGGGCAAATACTTCAGCAGAGTGGCCCAACAATAGCTATTGATCTTGTACATTGGCTGGCGGAGTGAAATTGATTAGGGACTGATTTCATTGGCAGCTGGTACGACCTGACTTGACAAAACATGGCCAAATATTGATATATACGATAAAATTATGCAATGTTTGATTCAGAAGGTTTATTGCTGATTTAGTTCCAGAAATTTTGTTGTGAGAAGTGTTTGATTAAGATTTGAGGCTTTGTTGTTGGAGTGTTTGATTCAGAGTCCGGGCTTTTGTCGCGAGAAGTCGAAAAGTTTGATTCAGATTGCAGACTTTTTCATGAGAAAGGCTTTTTGTTATCATGTGATTGAGGACTTTTGTCATGAAAATTATTTCAATCACATATTTGATTCTTGACTTTTTATCATTAGAAGTGTTTGATTCAGATGTAAGGCAGTTGTCAGGAGAAGTGTTTGATTCAGATGTAAGGCAGTTGTGAGGAGAAGTGTTTGATTCCAATGTAAGGTAGTTGTCAGGAGAAGTGTTTGATTCCGATGTAAGGCAGTTGTCAGGAGAAGTGTTTGATTCCGATGTAAGGTAGTTGTCAGGAGAAGTGTTTGATTCCGATGTAAGGCAGTTGTCAGGAGAAGTGTTTGATTCCGATGTAAGGCAGTAGTCAGGAGAAGTGTTTGATTCAGATGTAAGGCAGTTGTGAGGAGAAGTGTTTGACTCAGATGTAAGGCAGTTGTCAGGAGAAGTGTTTGATTCCAATGTAAGGTAGTTGTCAGGAGAAGTGTTTGATTCCGATGTAAGGCAGTTGTCAGGAGAAGTGTTTGATTCAGATGTAAGGCAGTTGTCAGGAGAAGTGTTTGATTCCAATGTAAGGTAGTTGTCAGGAGAAGTGTTTGATTCCGATGTAAGGCAGTTGTCAGGAGAAGTGTTTGATTTAGATGTAGGGCAGTAGTCAGGAGAAGTGTTTGACTCAGATGTAAGGCAGTTGTGAGGAGAAGTGTTTGATTCAGATGTAAGGCAGTTGTCAGGAGAAGTGTTTGATTCAGATGTAAGGCAGTTGTCAGGAGAAGTGTTTGACTCAGATGTAAGGCAGTTGTCAGGAGAAGTGTTTGATTCAGATGTAAGGCAGTTGTCAGAAGTGTTTGACTCAGATGTAAGGCAGGTGTCAGGAGAAGTGTTTGATTCAGATGTAAGGCAGTTGTCAGGAGAAGTGTTTGATTCCAATGTAAGGTAGTTGTCAGGAGAAGTGTTTGATTCCGATGTAAGGCAGTTGTCAGGAGAAGTGTTTGATTTAGATGTAGGGCAGTAGTCAGGAGAAGTGTTTGACTCAGATGTAAGGCAGTTGTGAGGAGAAGTGTTTGATTCCGATGTAAGGCAGTTGTCAGGAGAAGTGTTTGATTCAGATGTAAGGCAGTTGTCAGGAGAAGTGTTTGACTCAGATGTAAGGCAGTTGTCAGGAGAAGTGTTTGATTCAGATGTAAGGCAGTTGTCAGAAGTGTTTGACTCAGATGTAAGGCAGGTGTCAGGAGAAGTGTTTGATTCAGATGTAAGGCAGTTGTCAGGAGAAGTGTTTGATTCAGATGTAAGGCAGTTGTCAGGAGAAGTGTTTGACTCAGATGTAAGGCAGTTGTCAGTAGAAGTGTTTGACTCAGATGTAAGGTAGTTGTCAGGAGAAGAGTTTGATTCAGATGTAAGGCTGCTGTCAGTAGAAGTGTTTGACTCAGATGTAAGGCAGTTGTCAGGAGAGGTGTTTGACTCAGATGTAAGGCAGGTGTCAGGAGAAGTGTTTGACTCAGATGTAAGGCAGGTGTCATGATGAGCAATAACAAGTTGTCAAATTCCTCGGCCAACTCACAGTCTCTCCAGTGTGGAGCTGAAGGCGTTCCACCAGGGGTCCTGTTTGGAGATGGGAGCAGTCTTAGTATTGGTGTCCTTCTGTGCAAACAAAGGGGCACACGTCATATTAGTCCAGGTCTGTTTGATATTTATAGGGAGGGGGGTAAAACATCTGAGATGTTTACTCCCGTAAACATATGTGGTGCTGACAAACCCATCATCATAATCAAAACAAATTTGGGATTCAAACCCATGATAATAGGATCCTGGCATACCAAAGGGACACAACTCTGCACATCAAATTACAGGGCCTTAGACCCCCATGGCCACCAACTCAATATATAACATATATAATGAGTTCTAGTGAGGATCTCCGGAAGACCGTGGTTAATAATGATCCACACTGTCCGAGTATGATCGTATACTAATACAGCCAGACATGAATTACGTTATTGAAACATGCAGTGAGATCCTCATGTGTTGGGTCAGTAACCAAAAAGTTAATAATTACAGACAATCAATCACTGTTCTCCAGCACAGCTGTGTGCAGTCATGGCTGTGTTTGTGTACGTAATGACCTCAGAAGGTAGGATATCGAATCTCTGTGTGTGTGTGTGAGACGGTATAAATGAAGGCCCCACATGCCTAGTTCTATGTACAGTATATAATCGGTCAAAATTTAATTAGGATAATTTAAATTTAAATTTTAAATATTAACTGAGATTTAATTTTTGTTTTAACATTCAGCGATCATACAAAAGGTTGAGTTCTGTTATATCACAACAACTTAAACCCATGCACGCACGCACGCACGCACACATACACACCCGCACACACACACACACAGACACACACACAATCATGCAGACACACACATAAACACTCATTCACACAGACACACACACTCACTCACACAGACACACACACTCATGTGGACACACACACACACTTACACTCATAAAGACACACACACACACTAACACTCATGTAGATACAGACACACTCACTGACACAGACACACACATGACACACACTGATTTTATTTTAAGGAGATAAGATGTTTATTTCAGTTGTTTTCGATAATAAATGGTGAAGAGGAAAATAATTTGTCCTCTAAACTGTATTGATGTTACAGTTACAGTCTGGAAAACCATATCAGAGCGAGTGAGTATGGTTTTATGCCGCTTTTAGCAATATTCCAGCAATATCACGGCGGTTGAAAACCAGAAATTGGCATCACACATTGTACCCATGTCAGGAATCGAACCTGGTCTTCGGCGTGACGAGCGAATGCTTTAACCACAAGGCTACCCGTCCGCCCCACCAAATGTCAGAAGATCTTTCAGCGGGCAGAACAAGGAACTTACAATAACAAAGTCGTATGTGACGTCCTCGCCGGCCTCCTGGCACCACGCCTTGATCTGATTCTCAAACTTGATCACATCCACAGACGGGGGCATACGTATATCAAATGCTGTGGGGAAAATAACATGTATGAGAAGGTTACACACGTATCCCCAGAAACAGTTTTGTGAATGACACACACTGTAGGAGTTGAGTATACCGGGTCTCCATCAAATGAAAAGCAAGACTCTGAAAGTGCTGCATCCTCGAGTATTATACCTTTATTCTATTATGATACAAAAATATATTTTGTTTTTTGCTTATTTGTTGTTTAATGCCACATTTTGCAACGCAATATTCCAGCTGTATGATGGCGGTCTGTAAATATTCAAGTCTGGACCAGACAATCCAGTGATTGACAAAATACGTAAATTGATACGAAAATACCCTGGACCATACACAGCCATAGCTTGTTTTGATTCTGTTTTGTATGGCACGATGCCAAATTTAGCCAGCCAATCAAATGGGCTCGAGAAATTAAGATCGTGATTGAAATGATGACATCCAAAGTGAAGCTTAAGTGACGAATGGGTCCAGGGTACATCCTTGGCACAGCTGGCATGTTTCCTTGCGAGGACAACCAGATTGTATTAAAACATGAATCTTTGTTGTTCAACATACCAGCATGTTTTTTCGAAAGAGCAACCAATCCGGAATTAAAAGTAACAAATATTCACGATGATATTCGACTCTTCGTATTTTTTTTAATGATTCCCTATCGTGCCATTACAGATATCCCGCCTTGTATGTTTCGGCCAACACACAGGAAGGCTAGCAATTTCTTGGCTCGATCGTAGCACCACCAGTGGCTATTACGAGTTATGTCCCTTCAACATCACTCCTATTGACCAATCAGATTCCACCTCTCATATCACATGCATTTGCTTCAATCAAATCAAATCGCTAATCAAATCTATATTGTAATGAAAGGGGTCTTACTTTTCGAAGTGCATCAAATCAGCGAGATTAAAAACATGAAAAGATTTTGAAATATCTATTGACCCTGAGTTGGGGGTTCATATGCTTTGCAAATCCTGCAATCGACTGAAATCTGCAAGGCAATTTACAAACTGGATGTTAATTTCGTTACGCAATTTTGATTGGACTATACATAGATTTGTTATTCCAGCCAAATTATAACTCCATAATTCCAGCCTAGTTCGGTAGTCAGCTATAGTCTGGAAGGTAATTTAAGGTACCAACGTTTACTACAATATCTGAAAAACTATCGGACCTACTCCAGTCAAAGTTGGTATGAGATTATTAAACAGTCATACATAACTGGATATTACATTTAAAGACAATCGGTGCATGAATAAAAAATCTGTCTATTTAGCTATCACTATATTTCATCAACAACCAGACCTGTTCGTCACGGATGGAACGAGCATACATTGAAACAGCCATCTGCATAATGCTACCCCTGCGTCACAGGGCCATATGACACAGTTGAACCAATCAACTCAACTCGAAAGGGTGAAAGGGAATCACGCACGTTGAGACGCCCAACGCTAACACCGTATTGCCTCGGGAAGATGGTAATTACTGAGTTCATGCAACGGAAGGAGTGAATGTCAGCAATATTCCAGCTATGTCTGACAGCACATAAATAATTGATTCTGAGCAAGGCCGACTAATATCATGTGCAACACTGATCACCATCGATGTCATCGGGTCACACTGACACACAATCAGTTTTAGTCAACTGTCAATACAAGCATGGAGTGCTGGGGACAGATTCCGACCTGGACTCCCCACGGGGGAAAAAGTGATGCCACACCGACTCATGTTTTTGTACTGAGAGAAGAGTAAATGTTTCTTACATAAACCTAATTCTGCCGGCACAACATTAAACTGGATTCCTCCCTGCAAAGAAAAAGGAATTATTTTATTTATTTGATTCAGAGTCACAATCCACAGCCCTGTTCCACGAAAGGATCTTAGTGCTAAGATGATCTTTTAACTCCTGTACATAAATACAGTCTTTAGCTCGCCAGGATAAGAAAAAGACAATAACTCAGAGTCACAATCCACAGCCCTGTTCCACGAAAGGATCTTAGTGCTAAGATGATCTTTTAACTCCTGAACATAAATACAGTCTTTAGCTCGCCAGGATATGAAAGATTTGAAAGATCCACTTGCTGTCACTATTGATATTCAAATATTACCTGCATATAGACTCACGACTAAAACATTTGATGTTATCACAAGAATGAGTAAGTGAGTGAGTTGGGTTTAACGACAGTATTCCAGTTATATCACGGCGTGTCAGCTTAATGTGGGAGGAATGCCGGAAGTGATGCAGGTCTCAGACGTTTACCACTTTGGTGAAACCCACGAGCATGGGTATGGTGCTGACAAACCCACAATCATAGGTTTCTGCCGTGCCCAAGGGACGCAACTCTGAACAGCGAATCCCCGCGCCTTAGACGACTGGGCCACCCGTGCCCCTTATCACAAGAAGAATATCCATGCCAAATTGCTCCTCCTTCTGTTGGGCTATTTTGGCATGTTTAGAGAAGAAGATTACAGAGCTGAAATTGCCTTTTGACAGAATTCAAGAAAATGATCAAAACAAAGTTAAAAATATATAAATAGCCCTACTACACATGGACCAAATGGCATTACATTTTGAACAAACATAACTGAGTAACAAGTATAAATAGCTTTTCCAATATGGCCGTCATGGAGGCCATATTGATTACTGGAATTGAACATCTTGATCAGCTTGGGTGGCATCATTGGTAGGCACAAGCATTTGAAGTTTCAGCTTCGTTGGTCAGAGCTCTAGATAAGCTGTTGGATATTTGGGTGTGTTTCCCATGGGTTTGATTTTAAGTTGGTATTCAAATTTTTTTTACCCACATGTCTTTACATGAGACCTGTTTCGTATCAAACCCTGTAAATTACTAAAACCAAATGAACAGTAGAATACACATTTTACCAAATATAATTGTCTGTAAATGAATTTACTGACAGGGTGATACACAATTGTTTTATCTTACAGTTGTAATATAGACATTAGTCTTATTTTAGAAGCGATTTTATAGTTTTTGTCGTGTATTTGATATACTAATGATTTGATTTGTCACATATTTCAGTTTATTTAATGCATACTTTATGCAAATATGCAGCTTATCAACAGCTCTGATTGGTTGTGTGGTTTCTGAAGAGGCGTTTAAGATGAATGATTTTTTATTTTCCTGGCAGCCATATTGGATTTCTGATCAAGATGCCTCAAACAATTTGAACCTGCAGATGGTGACCTTCTCATCCATCAACTTGCAGGCCTTTACAATACTGAGAAAAAGATTTTACATAAAATTATGGAAACCTGGCAGCCATATTGAATCCAAGTAACAAACATCCTCATTAAATTTCAGCTGAATCGATTAAGCCATTTCAGTAAATAAGTCAAATAGGTAAAAGGTTTACAGATGATGATGGACGACTTGCAACGACATAAGCTTACATGTCCTCTCAGGCCAGGTGAACTAAAAATCAAAATTAAACTCTCTCCTCAGGTTAAGTATTTCAGTATCTAATAATCTTGAAAACAGACAATAGTGCCATAATGCTAATTTCAGGAGACATCCTATCTATGGACATGTACCATATATTCGACATAATAAGCGCCCACGTCGATATTTGCTAATATATTGGCTAGTTAACAATCCCAATCAGCACCCCTTCCGATTGATCAATGTACACAAGATTTATTTATTCGTGTTTAATACGCACTCGTGTGTTATATGCACCCTTAATTATGGGCAATTAAATTCTTGAAAAATATATCCGTCGTTAAAATATGCATGGACTTTTCTTTTGTATCATTTCAGGCTGTCAGCATAAACCACAAAATTTACGATCTTTCAACTGTTTTTTTTCCCACCAAAATTTTATTCTAATGAGCCCCTATTTCTAATTTTGAGAGCGTCCTGGGTGCTTATTACGTCAAATACGGTAATAGTAATAACATCGGCTGTCAACGACATCAAGCATGAGATACTCATATCCCGTCAATGTTATGTTCTATTGAGTAAAAGACTCAAGCGCTTGACAACAAAATACGGAAGCCTTTTAGGGCCATTTTCTTTTTTTCTTGAAATTTCAAGATGCTAAGTTGAAATTTCAAGATGCTAAGTTGAAATTTCAAGATACATAAGATAAAAATTCAAGTTAATCTTCGGTGTGATGAGCGAACACTTTAACCACTAGGCTACCCTAGAGCGCTGATAAATCAGGAAACAAAAATGGTTTTGGATTAGAACCCATCATTGATTGTAATTTGCTGTCTTCGAAACCAGAAATTCCTTTTCTGCAAAATTCAGAAAAGCAAAAGGTACTAGTTCATTGTTAGCCAGACATCTGTAACAAGATTTTTGCCAGACATATTGAATGCTATATTCAGTAATGCTCCGGAAGCAAAGCTTGACAGATGGAAGGACAGCACCCATTTCGAGATCCTCGTCCTCGGGGGATAATTAATCATTCCAACTGATAGTAGAATCAATAATATAATTGAAATAAAATACCGTATTCGACGTAAAAGAGCCCCGCTCTAATAAGCGCCCACGGCGATATTTGCTAATATATTGGCCAGTGAACAATCCTAATTAGCACCCCTTCCGATTGATCAATGTACACAAGACTTATTTATTCGCGTATAATACGCACTCATGTGTTATATGCACACTTTATAGGCAATTAAATTCTGGAAAAATATATCTGTCGTACATAAACATTTCAGGCTGTCAGCATAAACCACGAAATTTATCTTTAACTGTTTTTTTTACTAATATAATATTCTAATAAGAGCCCCCTGTTTCTAATTTTGAGAGCGCCCTGGGCACTTATTATGTCGAATACGGTATGTCTCAGTCTCATCTGTTGTGTGTTTAATGATAATTAGGTCTGAGGTCTACATCATTGGCTAATTTGATATTTTGTCTTTGTGATCTTACTAAAACAATACAGGAAGTTCACCACTTAATCTTAGTCCTTGAAAAAATAAATGTCATTTGAACAAAACAATAACGTGTGCTGAAACGACATTAATTGTTACCTTCAGTATTGTCATGTTAACGGTGGTCACATCCCCGTGACTTAGATTCGGATCTGATTTCAATCTACAATGGAAAAACACATCAAGCCATAATACATTTCTTTGAACTTGATTCCAAAAGGGCTGGTTCTTTGGTTGGGTGGATACTGAGTTGGACCAGTGTACCCACGGGACTACCCTGACCTGCGGTTAGTCACGTGATTATATTGCTTTATGGCAAACATTATCTAGAACTCTATGGCTAGACAAATGTTTGCATTCCTTCTGACTTTCATCTTCCAGAGGCAAGAGAGTTAACCGACTTTAAAAGTCCAGTTTCCACCCTTGCCTAACTAGGCTGGAATTACTGGGCTCGATCGTTGCGCCACCAGTGGCTATTACCAGTTATGTCCCCTCTAAGCCTCTCCTATGGACCAATCAGATTCCACCTCTTGTATCACTTGCATTTGTCTGTCTCACATTCCCTGAACCATATTATTTTCCATTTCGCCCGACCCTTACCGTAACACAAAAGCCATAAATAAAGCAAGTCTAGATTTTCCATAGGTTCTCACTGGGGCTCCTTTTAATTTTATATGTAGTTGCTTGTTTCTATCAAAACATGTGAATCACACCCTTGTTTTTAGTTAAATAAAACATAAAAATTAAATGCCTCACACCTCGCATATGTTAGAAATTTGATGAAAATCAAATAATTGATTTCATGTGGCCTATTATCGTTAATGTTGCATCTATTCATGATAAAGCACACTAAACAAGCTCGTCACATAAAAACATCAACATTTATCAAGCGAACATAATCTTTCTCAGATCATTATCTGTTTGGCTCAGAGCACAAAGGCCACATTAGAAGATTTGACTGCGTGTATTCCAGGAATGGGGAGCTTCTTAGCATACATGATTTTTGTGTTTATTACAGGTTCAGCCAGAGTGTTTACATGTGTTTACATGCGTTTACATCTGTACCGCCTGATAATATCAAAATATATCGGTTTGTAGTCAACGTACCTGTTTTCTTCATCATCACGGAACTGGAGGAAACTATTCATCACTTTCCGCTAAAAATAAACAGAGTAATTTAACTGATTTAACAATTGATGGTGGAGCTTTCAGCCTCAGTAGATACAAGGGGCGGTCGGGTAGCCTAGTGGTTAAAGCGTTCGCTCGTCACGCCGAAGACCTGAGTACGGTTTTACGCCGCTTTTAGCAATATTCCAGCAATATCACGGCGGGGGACACCAGAAATGGGCTTCACACATTGTACCCATGTCTGGAATCGAAACCCGGGTCTTCGGCATGATGAGCGAACGCTTTAACAACTAGGCTACCCCACCACCCAGGAAACACACAGTGTTACCAAACATTCATGCAAGGTAATCACATCCATTAGCAGTGAATGCAGACAGGTGTATCAACAGTTTGAGTATTAAAATATTAATAATAAAATTATTAAATATAAAATATTAATAATAATGTCATGACACTGTAGCTCACCTGGATATGTAGTCAACAATTTAAAATGTCTACAAAGACAGACACTTAACAAAGGTTGCGCTCACTGTTGAAAGTCAAATATATTTGTATAATATAATTTCTGCTTGTCATAAGAGGTAACAAAATGGATTGGGTGGTCACGCTCTGTGACTTGGCTGATTGTATGTCATCGCATCCCATTTTGCATGGATTGATGCTCATGATGTCAATCACTGGATTGTCTGGTCCATACTTGATTATTAACAGACCACCATCCTATAGCTGAATATTGCTGAGTGCGGGGTTAAACAACAAACAAACAAACAAACAAACAAACAAACATAAGTTGACTTTTACAACACACATGAGACACTGGGGACCTGTTCTGGGATCATTACATATATATTGTTGACATAATTGATGAAGCATTTATCATTTCTCTATAAGCCTAAAAGAAACAAAAGGATTGGTTCTTAGGCAATGGCTTCCAAAATATAGTGCATGTGGGCAGTGCTTTTTTTTTTTTTTTTTAGCCTGTGTGTGTGTGTGTGTGTGTGTGTGTGTGTGTGTGGGGGGGGGGGGGGGGGGGGGGGGGGGGGGTTGTTCTAACTAGTATGTGTACAAATATGTAACCAAATACCTACATAAATGTATTCCTTGATGCGTGAGATCGATGCTCATGATATTAATCACTGGATTGTCTGGTCCAGACTCGATTATTTACAGACCGCTGTCATATAGCTGGAATATTGCTGAGTGCGGCGTTAAACAACCAACCAACCAACCAACCAACCAACCAACCAGCCAACCTACATAAATGTATTCCTTGATGAGGGAAATACTGGAATACAGTATTTGATGGTGGACTTGGAATATTTAAGGAACTTTTATTTTTTTCAAAAATGGAAATAAAAACGAAACATGTGGCTAACCTTAAGATGATATGGGCGGTGCCTGAGAACCGAGACTATTTTGTTTTTTAGCCTAATACTCACCACTTTTGAGGCAGCAGTGTTTTCTATAAACCCTGACCCATGACCTGGCCGCCCCTTGCAGGTCACCTGGACCCCTAGGACAGACATGGGTAGAGGTGAAGTGAAATGGGGTTTAAGTTGAGATGAAATGGGGTTTAAGTTGAGGTGAAATGGGGTTTAAGTTGAGGTGAAATGGGGTTTAAGTGGAGGTGAAATGGGGGGTGAAATGGGGTTTAAGTTGAGATGAAATGGGGTTTAAGTTGAGGTGAAATGAGGTTTAAGTTGAGGTGAAATTGGGTTTAAGTTGAGGTGAATTGGGGTTTAAGTTGACGTGAAATGGGGTTTAAGTTGACCTGAAATGGGGTTTAAGTTGAGGTGAAATGGGGTTTAAGTGGAGGTGAAATGGGGGGTGAAATGGGTTTTAAGTTGAGATGAAATGGGGTTTAAGTTGAGGTGAAATGAGGTTTAAGTTGAGGTGAAATTGGGTTTAAGTTGAGGTGAATTGGGGTTTAAGTTGACGTGAAATGGGGTTTAAGTTGACGTGAAATGGGGTTTAATGTCGAGTTCAAGATAACTGCCCTTACATAGTGATGTCCTTGCACATGTATGTGGTTGCTTGTACTAGTCCAGACTACCACCAGTTATAGTGCTAGCACACTGAGATACCATGCCGCAGTTCAACACGAATACCCCACTCAGACACAGTATACTGACTCTGAGCTGACCAGTTCTTGTTTTAGCCCCTTAATGCCAAGCACCAGGCAGGGAAACAACAAGTACCATGTTTTAAAGTATTTTGGTAAAACGTGGTCAGGGGATCGAACCATCGACCTACCATTCTCTGAGTAATATGGTATGATGGTTGAGGCGGTATGGATATGAGTAGAATCTAATTAAAGGGGATTACCCTTTTACTTGTTAAGACAATATAACATAAAAAATGACTTGAGACTCAATCATCCAACTTTGATTTTCAAACTCTAAACGTGGGTAAAATATAATTTTTTCATGGAAGACTTATAGTAAGGTCAATTCAGCAATACATGTGTATCAAGCTCCAAGATATTAGCTTTGAATTTATGATTTAATATTTCTAATCCTGTTTAAAATTTGATATTGCATACAAACTGTCTCGTTCACTGATAATCATAAATCATAAAAACGTCATTTGCAAAATTGGCAGAGACATAATTTGAGACAAGAATTCTAACTGTGTGCATAATGAGACATTATAGATACCAGTTTTAAAAATACACCTTGTCTGACAATACATTTGGCACCAGTTGGACAAACCGTTGCTTTGGCAACAACATCGTCTAACAAACATATGCATGTATTCTAATGGTGAAATTCTGCCACTATGAAAGTCATCGTGAGTGCACAGGTTTGCTGCCTAGTGCAACCCATACAATCACTGTCAATGGTAGACGGGCGAGTGTTTGTCAATCAATTATCCTCTCCAGGAAGCAGCCCCCAGGGTCTGATTATCAAAGGATTGAACTCATCAAACCTCACACAAACAAATCACTGAATTAGTGGGACACAAATATTGAATCGTTTTTTTTCATTGTGACTATTGCAGCGTTACTAGACACACAGAAATAGTGTTTAGTCAGCGGTGGGAGAGTAATAAAACATTTACTATATCAGTACCATCAAATGTATAATTGCTCTTTACAAATACATCGTCATAACACCAGGGTGCTGTTGTACAAAGTAGTCTTAGCACAAAGGTGATCGTAACTCCCATACCTTACGACAGACTTACGACAGTCGCAGCACTAATGCCTCAGTCACGTTTGCTCTACGGCCAGGATACGGCAGCTGTAGCCCCCCTGAAATTGAGAGATACCTACAGCGGCTGCAGACGATCTGCGGTGGCCTTAGGGTCGCCCTAGGGCGTACATGGACCTTGTGTTTGCCGTGCGGCTGCCCTGTGTAGTGGTAGCCTCTGTCCGCACAGGGGGCGGTTTGGTAGCCTAGTGGTTAAAGCGTTCGCTCGTCATGCCGAAGACCCGGGTTCGATTCCCGACATGGGTACAATGTGTGAAGCCCATTTCTGGTGTCCCCCGCCGTGATATTGCTGGAATATTGCTAAAAGCGGCGTAAAACCATACTCACTCACTTACTCCCTGTCCGCACGGTTTCCGTATGGTCCCACTGTGGCTACCTTGGTATTTGTCAAAAACCTACGGCCGCTGCAGGGATGCCCTAAGGCGACCGTGCGTCATCACTTCAAAGGCTGTACGGCAGCTGCAGGTTTTCTGTCTCCACAAATTCAAAATATGCCGTGCGGCTAGCCTAACATATGTGACTGCTACAGTATGTGACAGTGGGAATGCTATGCCGGCCCTATAATTGCTATTGGCCATAGATATTTTAGACCCCGAGGCTGCCGCGCCAAATGTGACTAGGGCATTAGGTCGTTTTTTACACAGCACCATGGTCGTTTTGTACAACAGCACCCTGGTCAATTTCTATTTTTTTATTATATATTTATCAATATAGTAAATATATAGCCTTGAGGTGTTTAAGTTGGTTTTAGGTTGTGTTTTCTGCAAATTCTCCCAAAGATCAGATCATATTTAGGACTTCTTGTACAGATTTTCTGTTAATATGCCAAGATGGCAACAAAATAACTCAAATTATTGGGGATTTATTATAAATTCCCACAACCTGAAATGGACCTTGGTCTTTCTATTTTCAACTCCGGGGAATTCTTAACGTAAATATTTTGGGGTCCACAGCAGGAACATAGAGGCCCACGCTGGCTAACCTTGATTGCCGAGGAATTTACTGAAGTATTTATGGAGGAAAATCAACCAATGACACTATGAACTGAGAGAGAATTCCTCACTCAAATAGTACCATCAGTTAAACATACAATCTGCAATAATGATTCGAACAGCCATCCTCAATCACATTCCCCAGGACCAGCAATGTACATTATTTGTATCAGTGTTAAACTTGTATGTACGCAGGACACAGTGCTCCGCATCTGGTGAACCCTTCGTTCTCAATTTAGGTCCTCTCTCATCAGCAGATGTTTTTATCATTTGTAAAACAGCACAGACAGGGTGTAGACAAGGAACTGCTTCATCAGAAGTGCAAATGCACAAAAACAACCGTGCCAGACATCAGTCACAGTGTCCTGACCTTGAACCAATGGATGGTTATGTCACACACTTCAAGGAGATGTAGAATATTAAAAATACTTGGGGTAAAAACTACTCCAATATGCAGTCAACCATGAAATACCTCACTTGTTTCTAAAACAGTTCCCATGATATGTTACAAAAAAAACAAAATTTGATTGATTTCAAAAATGCGTTTTTCAACCTTTACTTACTAGTTTACTGTAGTTTACTTTTAGACAGGATCTTATAGAGGAAGTAAATAGAAAATGCCTTTCAATCTAAACTGAAAGATTTAATGTTTCTTTTTTCTTTTCACAGGCAAAAACATTTTTATCTGGCCTTATATTATTTACATTTTTTCAGATGACAAAATGCTGACTTCTACAGAAGCCTTTAAGGGCCATTTGTTTTTTGTTTTTTTTCGAAACTATCTTGAAATTTCAAGTTAGTATCTTGAAATGTAAAGAAAAAAACAAATGGACCTCGAAGGCTTCCATAGAATTCAATTCAATGCTTCAGTGTTCATATTTCTGTATCAATCTTCCAAACACCAAGAACAGAAAATATGTTGTTCCTACTTTCTCTTATCAAGCAAAACCTAATTTCTTTTGGTTCATAGATGAAATTATCTAATTGAAACAGGCAAAGATAAAAAAATAACAAAAAGCAGAATTCAATTAAATTCTTTTCTTTTGTATGTTTTAAAGGTCCGATCCATACATTTAAAACTTTCATAATATTTTTTTTCTCATAATTCTGAACTGATCTTGAAGTCAACAGGTATTTTTGAAATAATATCCAGAATAGTTGCTTATTAATTCAGGTCAGGGCCTGACAAAAAAGTACTTCCAGTATGTCCACTTAAGGCTAAAAAAAATAATAGTCTTGGTTCTCAGGCACAGCCCACATCATCATAAAGTTTCCATTTTAAAAAAACAAAACAAAATCCTGAAATATCCAACGGTTGTCAAATACTGCCTTCCAGTATTTTCCTCATCAAGGAATACATTTATGTAGGGAGGCCCTTTCCCAGGTTGATTGTACACAACTGTTTATTTGGTTACACAATTGTTTATTTCATTACATACTAGTTTGAACAACACCCCCTCCCCCCTTAAAAACACCTGCCTGCACTACTTTCAAAAGCCATAGTCTGAGAACCAATTCTTTCATTTTTTAAGCCTAACAGCTTAGAAACTCTGTACAACAAGCAATGAAACTTTTCTGATAATCATATTGATTCCTGAACCCATCACTTACACCACATGGAGCGCTCGCCGTAGAACACACGGAATTCCTTCCCAGGGTTGGCAATCCCTGAAAACAATTTTAAATACATCATGATGACTTTATCCAAACCAAACACTAGGATGGGAGAGTTTAACTAACTGAAGACAGGTCAAAGACTTCAGTTTGTGCAGAGGGCTGTGTAACTTGTGCCATTATTAAGTGTCCTCCCACTAACTGATCAACTCAAGAGGTCTGCACCTGGAACAACCATATTGCCCACTTTCTCTCGGATTAAAGATGAAGTGGGAAGAACATTGCATGTGATGTGATACGTCTCCGTCACTGCCGGTTCACTGCCAGACTGTATCATATGTACTGGTACTATTGCAGGTGAAGTGTTTTATAGGCATTGCTTAGAAGTTGATGGATGAAGAAGATGCAATTTAGGGATAACTTCTTTATTTACTGTAAAGGTGACGTTTCAGTATAGATCCTTATACCATTGTCAAGCATCCTTGCAAATTGTGTCTACTTGGTACTGAAGGTGAGTTGTTTCCTTCATCTCATCCATTGATGTTTAGGAATGATGGTGTACTGCTATAAAAGGGTTTTCCTTAGTTTTTTAAAGCTATGAGTGAGTGAGTTGGGTTTAATGCCGCTTTTAACAGTATTCCAGTTATATCAAGCGTGTCAGCTTAATGTGGGAGGAAACCTCGAAGTGATGCAGGTCTCAGATGTTTACCACTTCGGTGAAACCCACGAGCACGGGTATGGTGCTGACAAACCTAGAAACATAATCAAGGCGAACCGGGATTCGAACCCACAATCATAGGTTTCCGGCGTGCCCCAGGGACGCAACTCTGTACAGCGAATCGCGGCACCTTAGATGACTGGGCCACCCGTGCCCCCTTTAAAGCTATGAAATATGTCAGAGTTAAACAGATTTGTGGATTTATACTTTTTTAATATTGAGGGAGTGAGTTTGGTTGAACACCGCTTTGAACAGTATTCCAAATTATATCACGGCGTGTCAGCTAAATGTGGGAGGAAAGCCTGAAGTGATGCAGGTCTCAGACGTTTACCACTTCGATGAAACCCATGTGCACCCTTTTCATCAAAGATGAAGTGTGATTGAGTAGGGTTGTACACCATGTTAGCTTCTTTGTTGTTTAATGCTCTTGGTAATATTCCAGCTATATGACGGTGGTCTGTAAATAATCGAGTCTGGACCAGACAATCCAGTGATTGACATCATGAGTATCATCCCAGGTTGTTGGGACACGATGACACGTAATCAACCGAGTCACTGGCCTTAGCACCCAATCCACAAAGTAGCCTCTAATGACCAGCAAAGGTTGCTGGGGATTAACTCTTTCCTGGAGTCCCCATGGATGGTCCATTGAAAGCAGTATTCCGGGAATAGGACAGCAAGAAGGGACTTCACATTTTGCTCCTCTGCGAGAATCAAATCTTGTCCAGATTTATCTTAACCACATGGGACGCTACCTCATCATCCATATTTCCATCTTCCCGAGGCAAGGGAGTTAACTGACTATAAAATCCAATTTCCACCCTTGCCGAACTAGGCTGGTATTATGGAGTTACGTTTTGTCTGGACTAACGAGTCTATGTATAGTCCAATCAAATTCGCGCACCGAAATCGAAATCCGGTTCGTAAACTGTCGTGCAGATTTCGATCGATTGCAGGATTTGCAAGGCATGTGCACCGCCAACTCGTTGTCAGCAGATACTTTCCAAATCCTTTCATGTTTTTAATCAAGGTCCTCACGCGAGTTGATGCATTTCACAATGTGAGACCCGTTTATCACAATATAGATCTTGATAATCGATCAGATCGTCCTGACTGGGCGCCACCTTTTTGTGTGAAGCAATTGCAAGTGATACGAGAGGTGGAATCTGATTGGTCCATAGGAGAGGCTTAGAAGGGACATAATTGGTAATAGCCACTGGTGGCGCAACGATCGAGCCCAGTAATTCCAGCCTAGATCGGCAAGGGTGGAAACTGGACTTTTAAAGTCAGTTAACTCCCTTGCCTCGGGAAGATGCCATATTTCATACAGATGCATCTTGTTTAAAAAAGATTTTTAGAGTTTGTTCAAAAGTTTGCATAAATATGAACTTAAATAATTCAGGATTTGTATTGTACCAAAAAAGTATTTCCATCAGTACTGACAACGTACCTTCATCTAAAGCATAAGCAACGTTTAACTTTTTGAACGCCTCATGTTTCACAAAAGCAGCCATCGGCTTACTCCCAATCTCTTCATCTGAAACAACAGGAAGATCTTGGACAATTAAACTGTAATTGTTTACCATTTAAACATTTAGGACAATTATACCATAGTGTTGCAGATATAGGTGCATACGGCCTATCTGATTCATTTATAAAAGTTGGGGAGTGAGCTACTTCCTGGGAGTGACCCCATCTCCATCATTAAAAATATATCTGGAGTCAACATATCCACTGTGTCTGATAGGAAACAACAGTAACTATCATTTCTCAATTTATCATACCCTATGGAAAACTAAACTTTATGGATATTGGATAACAACTTCTAGTTTATTGCAAATAGTGACGTTTCCATGTAGATTCTGACACCGTTATCAACCAGGGCCCCGTTCTTCAAAGCGATCTTAGCGCAACGATGATCGTAAGCCTATGTTAAAGAATGAGACTTACAATCACCTTAGCACTAAGATCGCTTTGGGGAACAGGGCCCTGGGTGCTGTTGTACAAACCAACCTTAGCGCTACGACTGTCGTAAGTCTATGTTAATGTATGGGAGTTACGATCACCTTAGCGCTAAGATCGCTTTGTACAACGGCACCCTGGAGTGACATGTCTTTATATGGAATAAAACAGAAGTTGTTATCCATAAATTTGTACGTTCCTTACTTATTTGTCAACTTCTAAAATGCCAATCAAACAGTTGATATGATACCCTCTTATACACCATGGAAATGTTGTGCTTTGTCCAGTGTCTTTACTTGATAAAGAAACCATATACACATATCATAAGAATCAAACATCGAACATTCATTCTCATATTCCCCGCCAATATGACATGCCCGGTTGTGTGCAAGGCAAGAAATATTGTATGATCAAAATCAAAGTCATTGCTATGGAAACTTGAAAAATATTTTTTTGTGTAAAATCCCAAACTGTCAAAAGGCACCAGTTCACCACTAGACCTATCTATGTGCCAAGTTTAGTGGAGAAATATTGTACGTATTTCAAGATCAGCTCTGGAAAGGAACACTCCTGCCATTTTCAATCTAAATCAAAGTCGTTGCCATGGAAACTATAATGTTTTTTGAATTTTTTTTCCAAAACTATCAAAAGGCACCAGTTCACCACAAGACCTATCTATGTGCCAAGTTTGGTTTAAATATCTCATGGCTCTCTCTCGTTGAGTTCTGCTCCGGAAATGAAATGTGAAGGAAGGACAGACGGACAGATGGACAGCACCCATTCCTATATCCCCCTCCCAGTTTGTGACGGGGGATAATACTCAGGGTGGATCAGCAGACTTCTCAGACACGGTTTCCAATCTACTGACCTGAAGAGAATGTGAGGTGAATGTCTCTCAGACACTGTTTCCAATCTACTGACCTGAAGAGAATGTGAGGTGAATGTCTCTCAGACACTGTTTCCCCTCTACTGACCTGAAGAGAATGTGAGGTGAATGTCTCTCAGACACTGTTTCCCATCTACTGACCTGAAGAGAACGTGAGGTGAATGTCTCTCAGACACTGTTTCCCCTCTACTGACCTGAAGAGAACGTGAGGTGAATGTCTCTCAGACACTGTTTCCCCTCTACTGACCTGAAGAGAACGTGAGGTGAATGTCTCTCAGACACTGTTTCCCCTCTACTGACCTGAAGAGAACGTGAGGTGAATGTCTCTCAGACACTGTGTCCCCTCTACTGACCTGAAGAGAATGTGAGGTGAATGTCTCTCAGACACTGTTTCCAATCTACTGACCTGAAGAGAATGTGAGGTGAATGTCTCTCAGACACTGTTTCCCCTCTACTGACCTGAAGAGAATGTGAGGTGAATGTCTCTCAGACACTGTTTCCCTTCTACTGACCTGAAGGGAATGTGAGGTGAATGTCTCTCAGACACTGTTTCCCCTCTACTGACCTGAAGAGAATGTGAGGTGAATGTCTCTCAGACACTGTTTCCAATCTACTGACCTGAAGAGAATGTGAGGTGAATGTCTCTCAGACACTGTTTCCCTTCTACTGACCTGAAGAGAACGTGAGGTGAATGTCTCTCAGACACTGTTTCCCCTCTACTGACATGCAGAGAATGTGAGGTGAATGTCTCTCAGACACTGTTTCCAATCTACTGACCTGAAGAGAATGTGAGGTGAATGTCTCTCAGACACTGTTTCCCCTCTACTGACCTGAAGAGAATGTGAGGTGAATGTCTCTCAGACACTGTTTCCCCTCTACTGACCTGAAGAGAATGTGAGGTGAATGTCTCTCAGACACTGTTTCCCCTCTACTGACCTGAAGAGAACGTGAGGTGAATGTCTCTCAGACACTGTTTCCAATCTACTGACCTGAAGAGAACGTGAGGTGAATGTCTCTCAGACACTGTTTCCCCTCTACTGACCTGAAGAGAACGTGAGGTGAATGTCTCTCAGACACTGTTTCCAATCTACTGACCTGAAGAGAACGTGAGGTGAATGTCTTTCAGACACTGTTTCCCTTCTACTGACCTGAAGAGAATGTGAGGTGAATGTCTCTCAGACACTGTTTCCCATCGGCCTTCAGACGTCTGATAGCTTCCAGGTATCTGGAGGAAGAGAATGATGGTGACTGGTCCGGCGACATAAGTTGTTTTATCAGAGAAAATCTCTGAACATTGCAAATTTTGTTTGGGTGATCCAACCAAAAGCAAACTAAAATATTGAACACTTGCGACCAGTCTCTTCAGAAGTTTCAGACAGACTGACAGACAGACTGACAGACAGACTGACAGACAGATGACAGACAGACTGACAGACAGATGACAGACAGACAGACAGACAGATGACAGACAGATGACAGACAGACTGACAGACAGACAGATGACAGACAGACTGACAGACAGACCGACAGACAGATGACAGACAGATGACAGACAGACTGACAGACAGACAGATGACAGACAGACTGACAGACAGACCGACAGACAGATGACACAAAAATGCCATGACATAAGCTCACTTGACAGGTGATCTAAAAAACTATTTGTCAGTCATCTGGGCATGTCTGACAATTTTCATAATAAACTTTCGATTATTTTGAAACATTTATATTTGACATTTACAAGATCTCTATTTCATCCGCTACTTTAATTAGACAACTTAGCTCACTATGTACTCTAAATAATAAGACATATATTTATGCAACACGATGTCATCATCAACATTTCATGCATCTGTTTACATTACGTCCCACCATCACTTTGAAAACGCATATTCGATTTCTCGTAATATTTGTCAAAATGGTTCCAAAAATCAAATTAATTTGTTCTGGGTATATAGGCATCAGATAATCAAACACAACAATGTCGTCATATGGTTTCGAATCTTATACGATGTGTTTCGTGGTGGATTTTTTTAGCACAACAATTATTTTCTGATTTCGAGATAAAGTTGATGATTCGTTTTCACAGTGTCTCGACATGCACATGGCCAATAAGCGATGAAGAAGTGATGCACGTCAAGTTAGTCAAGTTATGAGTGAGTGAGTGAGTTGGGCTTAAAGCCGCTTTTAACAGTATTCCAGTTATATCACGGCGTGTCAGCTTAATGTGGGAGGAAAGCCTGAAGTGATGCAGGTCTCAGACGTTTGCCACTTCGGTGAAACCCACGAGCACAGGTATGGTGCTGACAAACCTAGAAACATAATCAGGGCGATCCGGGATTCGAACCCACAATCATAGGTTTCTGGGGTGACCAAGGGACGCAACTCTGCACAGCGAATCGCGGCGCCTTAGACGACTGGGCCACCCGTGCCCCTAGTCAAGTTATGAAATGAGACCTCAAACTCCTCAACGAAGTCAAATGAGTCCAACTCTGTGTATGAGTTATGTGTGAACCTACTGCTGTCGATATTGAAGTGATGTATGGGGTAGATGGTCACAAGGCTGTGACATGTTTCACGGGAAACATTGTCGTTTGTGCTGTGTAATCGTATAGGTCTGTGAACTCTCTGGAACCAAGTTGTGGCTTGACTTGTTAGTTAAAACATGGAACAGCCGTATATGTATTCATGTTTGAAGCAATGTCATCAAAATCAGATCTTAGTTCTCGCTATCGCCAGACAAAGATCTGAGGACATCCCATTACGGGTCACGTCAGAACGACCTTTCATCAGACCAATCAAAGCGTCGCTTACCAGATCGTGAAAGTGACAGTTAGAATGTGTTTTCTGATCATGCAACCTCGTAAACGCAAACATGGGGTATTCCGAACGACAGTTACAGCCCGTACGACTTTGATTCCGTCAAAATCATTCGCTTCAGTGGGAGAAACATTTGAACGAAGGAGGCGTTGCACAGTACGTGGGGAGCACTGCCATACAATCTCAACCATATATTAGACTTTCCGGAATGTTCGTTTGTTCAGTTTTCAAAATTTTAATCGAGAACTGTGTCAACATATTTTTCCAAGCGTAGTCTGAAATGGAAGTCGCCATTTTTGAAACGAGTGCTGTAAAGCTCAAGAAAGCTGCTTTCTAATTGGCTGATGTCGACTTCTTGTTAGTCATTTCAGTGGTCGGTCAAAGTTCCTGAAAGGTTGTTCTAGCGTGACCTGTAATGGGATGTCCTCAGATCTTTGTTTAGCGGCAGCGAGAACTTTTAATGAGATTGTGTTTGAAGGAGCAATGTTGTGATCAAGTGTTGACAAATGATGCTATAAAGACTCAAGTCCCTATGTCAGGGAATATTTATTAATCACACCATGCACTTGTTTTTCAACAAAATGTGATGTCAATGGCCAAGGCAGTAAATACATTAAACGCATGACAGAAAAATAAAGTTTCAATGCTGAATAGGGATCCATGGGAACGGTTTAGATGAATACGAGTCCCAACGTCAAACACCCGAGTTCCCAACCAGGGGAGATAACTCACATCTTGTTGCAAACATGGAAGAAAAACAATGCAGCTAGTCTCTGGACATATTTTCACAAAATGTTGATCATGTGGAATAATACATTTGAAATCAGGTACCCGAGGTCGGGTTTTGAGACATGGGTCCTTAAGTACATTTTTATTCAGTCAGTGAAAACCCTCATGATGAAAACCCAATTTAACGAACAAACATCCTAGTGGTACTGCTGCTGTTTTGTGAAAAAGTAACAATTTCCTGAAAAGCTGAGGAGGATGTTAAAAATATTGTATACACAAAACCACCCAAGGAATACTTACTGAATTGAAATGCATTTCATATCCTGGAATAAAAACAAATATTGTATTGTAAGTTCAATTTGTCTGTAAACAACTCAATGTCAATATGACACAAACAAATAAAGAACTCATTGTTACAGACTAAATAAAAAACAATACATCCATATGCATTCACTGTTTTTCCTGCAAAATCATTTAAAGTCCTTGTAACAGCTGTGATTAGTCAATATCCTTTTCAAACAAGGATTGAAATTATCATACTTCCTTATTATACAGCGTATGGTCAATGTATTTTAACAGTCACGGAAGTGCTCGTGTGTATTGAATTACATACCTGTGACCCTCTCGCTATGATATCTCCATTGTCTGTCTTTTCAGCACTGAACGGATCAACTTTCCATTGCTCCTGTAAGTAACACTTTATTTACATATAGTTCCTCTGTCTTTTCTTACTTTCCCATCACCTAAGAGTGAGTGAGTGAGTATGGTTTTACACCGCTTTTAGCAATATTACAGCAATATCATGGCAGGGGACACTGGAAAATGGGCTTCACACATTGTACCCATGTCAGGAATCGAACCTGGGTCATCGGCGTGACGAGCCAATGCTTTAACCACCAGGCTACCCCACCACCTTCATCACTTAAGGGGGCGGTCGGGTAGCCTAGTGGTTAAAGCGTTCGCTCGCCACGCCGAAGACCCGGGTTCGATTCCTGACATGGGTACAATGTGTGAAGCCCATTTCTGGTGTCCCCCGCCGTGATATTGCTGGAATAGTGCTAAAAGCGGCGTAAAACCATACTCACTCACTCACTCATCACTTAAGAACATCTATTGATTTAACACTGCTTTGAACAATACAGGGTTGTATCTACGATTTCAAACTTATTGACTTTGGCAGACAAATTGAGGAAAATATGTTTTTATTTTCGGACATATCTTACCATCGAATGTAATAATAAGATACTCAATAAGATAAGTAAACCTCTTTCTCTCGCATGGTCTTGTTATAAGTCGAAAACAAGTCACCTCCACCAAACCTCACATTAGTAATGACTATATTTACATGAAATAGGAAATTATTAATTTCCATTTGGGAATTTTTCCTGAAATTATTGCTGCAGAATTTGGGCAGAATATCCACCGAGCTGGTCTAGATGAAGTCCTGCCGCTTTTAGCAATATTCCAGCAATATCATGTTGTGGACACCAGAAATGGGCCTGACAAATTTGTACCCATGTCGGGAATTGAACCCGCGTCTTTGGCATGATGAACGAACGCTTTAACCACAAGGCTACCCGACCGCCCCTAATATCAATTATGAGATAAAGTGTAAGAGTAGTGTGGAAGTAGGGTCGAGGAAGTGATCAGGTCGTAGACATTTTGGTATGGTCTTTGGCATGATAACTGGGGTACAACAAGGAATCGGTACCATGGTCAGCAGAAAGGAATAGCCAAGGGAAGCAACACTTTCATTATTTAAGAAATGGGATCATGATGACAGAGTGAGTGAGTGAGTATGGTTTTTACGCTGCTTTTAGCAATATTCCAGCAATATCATGTCAGGGACACCAGAAATGGGTTTCACACATTGTACTCATGTGGGAATCGAACCCGGATCTTCAGCGTGACGAGCAGATGCTTTAACCACTAGGCTACTCCTCTGCCCTCACGATGACAAGGCATAGATGAGTCATGTTAAATGATTACAGATTTATCAAGGACTAACAACTAAATGCCAATTCAAGTAAATAGAAAAAAGGATATATTTTGTCCAAATCTAGTTCTGATAAAGTCTGTCTTTCTTATATACACACTGCCAAAATAAACGAGAACCGTAGAAACACATAGAGAAGTATGTACGTGAAAAAGACATGTTTCCGATGTGTACCACTTCATGACAAAACTAACAATCAGTCAAGTGTTACCACAGTGTCTTTGTTCTTATCACGATATGCTGCACATGATTTCCAAACTTTACACGCCAATCCTGCACGAGACAAATGGTGCATCTCGAGTCATGGATCTATGACGTCACATATGATACGTTTATGAGAATCGGTTCACACAACATGCCAGTATGTTCGTTTGTGCATCGAATCAATCTAATATCTCTTGACTATGAGTCATTCTTCATACATTAACCAACATGTATGATATTCACATTTTTTATATTCATATGTCTTATAGATCCCTTTCTTTTTATTTCACCAACCTGTAGATTGTTTGATATGATCACTTAAAAAAATTTTAATGTATATTTTAAGTTTCTTTTAACATTTAAGAATATTTGTTTCCAGTTTTCAGTTTTTTAGGCTTGGTGGATCTGTAAACCATTTTTTTTCCAAAATTATTTCGCAACTTGAATTCCAATATCGGCGGATCATAGGCTTTCAGACATATACGTTTCAGGACAGCCATTGTTATCACGATGACTCGCGCTATAACAAGGGGTGTGGCTTCACAAAGACATTGTAAATACTCAGACGATGACCTGTTTTTAAGATCAAGTCATCTATCATAACTGAATGAGATGTTTTACAGTTGTTCTAGTGATTAAAGAGAAAATTAAAAATGTTTCTAAAGGGTCCAAAAACCCATAACCTGGGGATACCGTATTTGACGTAATAAGCGCCCCGCTCTAATAAGCGCCCACAGCGATATTTGCTAATATTTTGGCTAGTGAACAATCCAAATCAGCACCCTTTCCGATTGATTAATGTACACAAGACTTATTTATTCGTGTATAATACGCACTCGTGTGTTATATGCACCCTTAATTATGGGCAATTGAAATCTGGAAAATATATCTGTCGTATGTCAACATTTCAGGCTGTCAGCATAAACCACAAACTTTATGATCTTTCAACTTTTTTTCACCAAATTAATATTCTACTAAGAGCCCCTATTTCTAATTTTGAGAGCACCCTGGGCGCTTATTACGTTGAATACGGTATATTGCCCATATCAAGCAGTGCCCCAGGGCACACTCACAGGGAAGACGGGCACCACATCCACGTGGGAATGCAGCATCAGCGACTTCTGCCCCGGGTCCGTCCCCCTCCACGTCATCACCACAAACGGCTTGCCGGGCAGAGCCTGCAGAGTGAAGATGTAGGGTTACAGGACAAACATGGATCAGTCACATCTCACAGTTCACCAGCCTACCTGTCGCTTATCATGCAGCAGGACATATAGTATTTCCAATTCATTATATTTATAAACCTGCCATAACACAGTGTCCGAAATAACTGCCAGCCTGCCTGCCCGTGGCTGGTAATTTTTCTGTCTGGCAGATAATTTTAAGACTAGTTACGTATTCAGTTTTATTATATCGCTTTGTAGATTCTCAAGTTTGCATTATTTCAACTTAATCAAGACGTGAGTTGTCTTTTTGTTTTTGCGATTTTTGGGCAACACTGATGGGTTACATGCTACCTTCAAGGGTCTAGATTGTCTACTTATTGCTACCTTCAAGGGTCTAGATTGTCTACTTATTGCTACCTTCAAGGGTCTAGATTGTCTACTTACTTGCTACCTTCAAGGGTCTAGATTGTCTACTTATTGCTACCTTCAAGGGTCTAGATTGTCTACTTACATGTTACCTTCAAGGGTCTAGATTGTCTACTTACTTGCTACCTTCAAGGGTCTAGATTGTCTACTTACTTGCTACCTTCAAGGGTCTAGATTGTCTACTTACTTGCTACCTCCAAGGGTCTAGATTGTCTACTTTCATGCTACCTTCAAGGGTCTAGATTGTCTACTTACATGCTACCTTCAAGGGTCTTGATTGTCTACTTACATGCTACCTTCAAGGGTCTAGATTGTCTACTTACATACTACCTTTAAGAGTCTAGATTGTCTACTTACTTGCTACAATCAAGGGTCTAGATTGTCTACTTACATGCTACCTTCAAGGGTCTAGATTGTCTTCTTACATGCTACCTTCAAGGGTCTAGATTGTCTACTTACTTGCTACCTTCAAGAGTCTAGATTGTCTACTTACTTGCTACAATCGAGGGTCTATATTGTCTACTTACATGCTACCTTCAAGAGTCTATATTGTCTACTTACTTGCTACCATCAAGGGTCTAGATTGTCTAATTACATGCTACCATCAAGGGTCTATATTGTCTACTTACATGCTACCTTCAAGAGTCTATATTGTCTACTTACATGCTACCTTCAAGAGTCTATATTGTCTACTTACATGCTACCTTCAAGAGTCTAGATTGTCTACTTACATGCTACCATCAAGGGTCTAGATTGTCTACTTACATGCTACCTTCAAGAATCTAGATTGTCTTCTTACATGCTACAATCAAGGGTCTAGATTGTCTACTTACATGCTACCATCAAGAGTCTATATTGTCTACTTACATGCTACCTTCAAGAGTCTATATTGTCTACTTACATGCTACCTTCAAGAGTCTATATTGTCTACTTACATGCTACCATCAAGAGTCTAGATTGTCTACTTACATGCTACCATCAAGGGTCTAGATTGTCTACTTACATGCTACCATCAAGGGTCTATATTGTCTACTTACATGCTATCATCAAGGGTCTGTATCGTCTACTAACATGCTACCATCAAGGGTCTATATTGTCTTCTCACTTGCTACCTTCAAGGGTATAGATTTCCTACTTACTTGCTACCATCAAAGGTCTATATTGTCTACTTACTTGCTACTATCAAAGGTCTATATTGTTTACTTACATGCTACCATCAAAGGTCTAGATTGTCTACTTACTTGCTAACCTCAAGGGTCAAGATTGTCTACTGACTTTCTACCCTCAAGGGTCTATATTGTCTACTGACTTTCTACCCTCAAGGGTCTATATTGTCTACTTACTTGCTACCATCAAGGGTCTAAGATTGTCTACTTACATGCTACCATCAAGGGTCTAAGATTGTCTACTAACATGCTACCTTCAAGGATCTAGATTGTCTACTTACATGCTACCATCAAGGGTCTAGATTGTCTACTTACTTGCTACCATCAAGGGCCTAATATTGTCTACTAATATGCTACCATCAAGGATCTAGATTGTCTACTTACATGCTACCATCAAGGGTCTAGATTGTCTACTTACATGCCACCATCAAGGATCTAGATTGTCTACTAACATGCTACCATCAAGGGTCTATATTGTCTACTTACATGCTACCTTCAAGGGTCTAGATTGTCTACTTACATGCTACCATCAAGGATCTAGATTGTCTACTTACTTGCTACCATCAAGGGTATAGATTGTCTACTTACTTGCTACCATCAAGGGCCTAATATTGTCTACTTACTTGCTACCATCAAGGGCCTAATATTGTCTACTTACTTGCTACCATCAAGGGCCTAATATTGTCTACTAACATGCTACCATCAAGGGTCTAGATTGTCTACTTACATGCTACCCTCAAGAGTCTAGATTGTCTACTTACTTGCTACCATCAAGGGTCTATATTGTCTACTTACATGCTACCTTCAAGGATCTAGATTGTCTACTAACATGCTATCATCAAGGGTCTGTATTGTCTACTTACATGCTACCATCAAGGATCTAGATTGTCTACTAACATGCTACCATCAAGGGTCTAGATTGTCTACTTACTTGCTACCATCAAGGGTCTAGATTGTCTACTTACATGCTACCTTCAAGGGTCTAGATTGTCTACTTACATGCTACCTTCAAGGGTCTAGATTGTCTACTTACTTGCTACCTTCAAGGATCTAGATTGTCTACTTACATGCTACCATCAAGGGTCTAGATTGTCTACTTACATGCTACCTTCAAGGGTCTAGATTGTCTACTTACATGCTACCTTCAAGGGTCTATATTGTCTACTTACATGCTACCATCAAGGGTCTAGATTGTCTACTTACATGCTACCTTCAAGGGTCTAGATTGTCTACTTACATGCTACCTTCAAGGGTCTATATTGTCTACTTACATGCTACCATCAAGGGTCTAGATTGTCTACTTACATGCTACCTTCAAGGGTCTAGATTGTCTACTTACATGCTACCATCAAGGGTCTAGATTGTCTACTTACATGCTACCTTCAAGGGTCTAGATTGTCTACTTACATGCTACCTTCAAGGGTCTATATTGTCTACTTACATGCTACCATCAAGGGTCTAGATTGTCTACTTACATGCTACCTTCAAGGGTCTAGTTGTCTACTAACATGCTACCATCAAGGGTCTAGATTGTCTACTTACATGCTACCATCAAGGGTCTATATTGTCTACTTACTTGCTACCATCAAGGATCTAGATTGTCTACTTACATGCTACCATCAAGGGTCTATATTGTCTACTTACTTGCTACCATCAAGGATCTAGATTGTCTACTTACTTGTTACCATCAAGGGTCTAGATTGTCTACTTACTTGCTACCATGAAGGGCCTAATATTGTCTACTTACATGCTACCATCAAGGGCCTAATATTGTCTACTAACATGCTACCATCAAAGGTCTAGATTGTCTACTTACATGCTACCTTCAAGGGTCTAGATTGTCTACTTACCTGCTACCATCAAGGATCTAGATTGTCTACTTACATGCTACCCTCAAGGGTCTAGATTGTCTACTTACTTGCTACCTTTAAGGATCTAGATTGTCTACTAACATGCTACCATCAAGGGTCTAGATTGTCTACTTACTTGCTACCATCAAGGGTCTAGATTGTCTACTTACATGCTACCTTCAAGGGTCTAGATTGTCTACTTACATGCTACCCTCAAGGGTCTAGATTGTCTACTTACTTGCTACCTTCAAGGGTCTAGATTGTCTACTTACATGCTACCATCAAGGATCTAGATTGTCTACTAACATGCTATCATCAAGGGTCTGTATTGTCTACTTACATGCTACCATCAAGGATCTAGATTGTCTACTAACATGCTACCATCAAGGGTCTAGATTGTCTACTTACTTGCTACCATCAAGGGTCTAGATTGTCTACTTACATGCTACCTTCAAGGGTCTAGATTGTCTACTTACATGCTACCTTCAAGGGTCTAGATTGTCTACTTACTTGCTACCTTCAAGGGTCTAGATTGTCTACTTACATGCTACCTTCAAGGGTCTAGATTGTCTACTTACATGCTACCATCAAGGGTCTATATTGTCTACTTACATGCTACCTTCAAGGGTCTAGATTGTCTACTTACATGCTACCATCAAGGGTCTATATTGTCTACTTACATGCTACCTTCAAGGGTCTAGATTGTCTACTTACATGCTACCATCAAGGGTCTAGATTGTCTACTTACATGCTACCATCAAGGGTCTATATTGTCTAGTTACATGCTACCTTCAAGGGTCTAGATTGTTCAAGTACTTGCTACCTTCAAGGGTCTAGATTGTTCAAGTACTTGCTTTTAGTCATGGTTTAGGTTGGCTCAAGTTACTTGCTACTAACTGTGGCCTAGATTATTGACATCTTGTTTCAGACCTTGGTCAAGATTGCCTAATTACTTGTGAATGGACAGTATGTAATTGTTTCTCCAATTTATGTCTACCATCAATGATCTTACTTATCTAAACACTTGCTACCACCAGTACCGGCCATGGTCAACAGTGCAATAAGGAAACATCTGCAGAGCTTGCACATGAGGAGCGTATGCAAAGAAAGGCAGATTCTCCCTGTGTGTCCATATGCAGATAACCTTTCTCCGCAATATTTGATTTAGCTGAGCACAACATTAATGCTTGGATTTTATCAAAAACAAGCAATTGTTCCTGAAAATTCTTGAACAAAATAATATTGCTTCAGATTATTGAAAAAAAAAGAAATTGCAAGCCACATCAATTACCTAGTTGCAAGGAGTTTTTATCAAAAAGGGAATCAGGCTCATAGTTTGAAATGGAAAAAAATATCTGGTTTTATAGCTGTTGATTAAAAAAATCTAATCTTGATACAAAATTTTAAAGTTTTTAAAAAGACACATTTTCAAAAGGTTTTAATTTTAGTTCTATAAATATTTCATTTTTATGATAGCATCAGTAAATAAGTTTGTTTTGATAATACTTTAGTTATATCTGTGGAATAAAAACAACAACATTGCTTCTAATTTTTTTATTTTACATTTTTTTATTTTTTTTAATCAGCGAATTGTAAACCAAGTATCAAATAAAATCTGGCATAAGGATGGATCCTTTTGTTTTTTCAAAAATAAAATGCTGAAGTTTTAGTAATTATTGAAAGATCCAAATTAAAGGAACTTTATGTCAACACTACTAATATCCAGGGTGCAAATTTTAAGCGGTAATTTCAGAGCAACAAATAAATCATGCATCAAGGTCAAAGTGCAAAGGTCACTACTGACAGCACAGCAAAAAAGAAGTGTGTAGAGCTACTGTTGTCACTGCCTTGGTCAGCAGTATTACAGTTACCGTATTCGACGTAATAAGCGCCAATGGCGATATTTGCTAATGTATTGGCTAATGAACAATCCCAATAAGCACCCCTTCCGATTGATCAGTGTACAAAGGACTTATTCGCATATAATACGCACTCGTGTGTTATATGCACCCTTAATTACGGGCAATTAAATTCTGGAAAAATATACCTGTCGTAGATAAACATTTCAGATTGTCAGCATAAACCACGAAATTTCTGATCTTTCAACTCTTTTTCTTCCACCAAAATAATATTCTAATAAGAGCCCCCTATTTCTAATTTTGAGAGCGCCCTGGGCGCTTATTACGTCGAATACGGTACATATCACTGCACTCTGTACAGTCCTCAACACTGGCCAACACGAGCTGTCGGTTGATAGGACACCTCGGATGGGGGGATAACTGATGAGGATCTCTTCTGACCTAGAAACCCCATTTATATTGAGAAAATTTACAAATACATTCACTTTCTGATTATGAAATTAACAAAACTTACCTCCACAACTTTGCATTCTAGACCAATATCCTTTGCTAGATCTGACAGAAATGCTGTAGTTTCGCCTGCAAGAATTGTTAGACAATAGATACATTTCTGTAAGGCTAAAACAAAAGAGGAAATGTGTCTCGAGCATTGGGGAATCATTTTTATTACCAGTGAGAAAAAAAGGTTAAAGTTGATATTTTCTGCGTCATTTGAAACTCACATTGTGTTAGAGCTCAGTGTGTGTCCAGTTGTTTGTTGATATTCTTATTCCATTTGTTTTCAATAAAGTCAAATTAAAAAGGTCCTTCGTCGCTTTTGAAAAAAAAGCCCTGAGAAACATTCATATTTGAGATGTCAGCGGAGGAGGGGGGCACGGGTGCAGGCATAATCATGAGCTGCCAAAAACATGACAGGTTAAGGGGGGAAATTCATTGAAAATATTTTTTAAATCTTTTTCGATAACTTTGCCAAAAAAATATGATCGCGGTAGATTTCATGAGTACAAGGGCAACCACTGAGAGAAGGTTGTGAAAAAACATTGCACAAACATTGAAGAAGGAAAAACTTTTCTAATTACAATATATTATAATACCATATGCAACGTAATAAGTGCCCCGCTCTAATAAGCGCCCACGCCGATATTTGCTAATATATTGGCTAGTGAACAATCCCAATTGGCACCCCTCAGATTGATCAATGTACACACGACTTATTTTTTCGCGTATAATATGCACTCGTGTGTCATATCATCCTTAATTATGGGCAATTAAATTCTGGAAAAATATATCTGTCGTACATAAGCATTTCAAGCTGTCAGCATAAATCACAAAATTTATCTTTCAACTCCGTTTTTTTCATCAAAATAATATTCTAATAAGAGCCCCCTATTTCTAATTTTGAGAGCGCCCTTGGCGCTTATTATGTCGAATACCGTAGACCTAATGTGTTACAGGGCTCGATTAATCTTTATAAATCATGTGCCAGTGCAACCTATTATCGAAAAATGTGACATAATATTTATGTCTTCAGGCACCAAGTGCATGGAAAACAAATTATATTTTTTCATTTAAGTTGTTTAGCAGTTTGGTCCACTTTTGTTTGTTAGTTTGTTTATTTGTTTGTTGCTTAACGCCACACTCAGCAATATTGCAGCTATATGATGGCTTTCTGTAAATAATCAAGTCTTGACCAGACAATCCAGTGATTGACATCATGAGCATTGATCCATGCAATTGGGGTCGATGACATGCATCAACCAAGTCAGCGAGCCTGCCCACCCAATCCCATTAGTCGCCTCTTACGACAAGCATACCGTATTAGACATAATAAGCGCCCAGGGTGCTCTCAAAATTAGAAAAAGGGAGCTCTTATTAGAATATAGTTTTGGTAAGAAAAAAAAACAGAGTTGAAAGATATATTCATAATAATAATATAATAATATTGTGGTTTATGCTGACAGCCTAATATGATACAAAAAAAAAGTCTGTGCGTATTTTACACGACATATATATTTTCCAGAATTTAAATACCCATGATTAATGGTGCATATAACACACGAGTGCGTATTATGCACAAATAAATAAGTCTTGTGTACACTGATCAATCGGAAGGGATGCTAATTGGGATTGTTCACCAGTCGATACATTAGCAAATATCGCCGTGGGCGCTTATCAGAACAGGGCGTTTATTACGTCGAATACGGTAGTCGCTTTTTAAGACAAGCATGGCGTTGGTTGTTTTGACTCCAGCCACAGAAATTCGCAGCTGTACACAATAAACATAACTTGCATTGACCCATGTATCCTTCGGGGTCACTAAAAAACATGTATAGTCGTATTTAATTGTGCATAGGTGCTAATCCCTGTGCTTCAACCGGAGTGGAAGATTTCACTGGCAACCGAATTATTATTGACATAGCTATTATACACAGGAGCAAGCGTGGTCTGTACTTGATTCTAGGTCAAGGTAAAACGAAGCGAACTAAGACTCAGCGCTAAGACATGTTCATGCATATATCAGTCACATGTAGTCGCTGATCGAGGGATTGAATAAAGTAGGCGTGGCTTCCATTGAACATGTGTTTGCTTGCTCTTTTTCTTATAACATAAACACGTGGAGCGCATGGGAAGAAAGACGGATACTTACTGTAATCAGGTTCTGGCTGCACGGACTTTATCTTGAGGTAATTTCTGAAAATTGTCACGGCTGGATTTTCCATCTCTGTTACTTGTTGTAGCTGTTTAACTGGGACAGTTATCAGTTTACTATAGTGAAACAACGGCTTTGAATTACCTCCCCTGTTACACAAGCTCCTTCACAGCGCGTGACACCTTCGTTATACTCTCGGTCACATCGCTGCCACCAAGCTTCTTTCCAGTGCGTGACACCTTCGTTACACTCTTGGTAACATTGCTGCCACCAAGCTCCTTCCCTGCGCGTGACACCTTCGTTACACTCTCTCATAATATAGAGAGCTCCGCGAACGGGCTATCGCTGTGAGGAGCTTGTGCTGCCACCAGTGTGGGCGCGGCCATTACAAGAATCTTGAAATTTGCCCTCCTACCCCAAATGTCGTAACGTTCATAGTTTTGTTTATGTTTTGGGAATGCCATCATATTTCATTTTGAAAAGGTTTACGACTGACCATGTTTTCCAGATGAATTTACTTTGTTTTCTTAATAATCAGATTGGTTCGAGATTGCAGATTAACGGAAAATCAACCAACTTTTACATTCTTACTATATCAATTACATGATAGTTTTAATGAAATAGAAATTCAAATTGACAAACAATGAATGTTATTTAGCAGCGGCAAGTTTATTCGGTGTCACGACAGTTGTCACTTGTTTGTAAACATAACGGTCCGTCGGTTGCGAGTTCAACTCCAAGCATGGTTGTGGCCACCTATCACAGTGGGGAGTTTTGACTGGTGGCAACGATAGTTTTGAGAGCTCCGCGAACGGGCTATCGCCGTGAGGAGCTTGCCTGTTAAAGTACCAAGGGAGATAACTCTTGTTCAAAGTTTTCTTTTTTGAAAATTCTTTGTGGCCAGTCCCATTTCTTGGCATCTTTATTTATCTCCCGCAACAACTATTTGTTGTTGTTATAATAACAGTTAGTTGGAAACTTATACTATATAGAAAATGTTGATATTGTATATAATTTAATTTCGCCATCCATGTACATACAGTCATGTTGATCTTTCTTACCAAGGGATCTCATTTGTCTTACAGTCAGTATGTGTATGGTTAGTACATTAAGGGTTAACAGTGTGTATTACCTCCGATTTCTCACCTCGAAAAGCTGCAAAACTGCTGATGTGGCGTAAAACAAAAATATTCACTCACTCCTAACGAAGACCTGATTTCTTACTATTAGGTTGGATTTCTTTCAGTGCGAGAATTCAGTACACAGACGTTACAGACCAATACCCTAAAAATGCCTTTCTTGGCTGTCAGTACCCGCATGTTTTGTGACAATATCCCAGATGAACATATAGTCCCTGAAATAAAGTCGCGTATAAGAATACATCAAATTTATTCCACAAGCAAACCCACCCCTGACAGGGAGTTTCATTTGGTCTCATACCAAAATACGTTAAAAGATGGTACTTATTCTTACCCTGCCTGGCGTTCGGCATTACGGGGTTAAAACGAGGCCAGGTCGGCTCGAAGTCAGTATGCTCTGTCTGAGTGGGGTATTCATGTTAAACTACGGCATGTCAACTCATTAAAAAGTATATATTAAAAAGTATAAAATCGACATTAGTCCGGACAAGTACAAGCAGCCACACACACGTGTATGCACGTCGCTATATAAGTGCAATAGAGGCAACTAACGGGATCAGGTGGTCAAGCTCGCTGACTTGATTGATGCATGTCATCGTATCCCAACTGTGTGGATCGATGCTCATGATGTCAGTCACTGGATTGTCTGGTCCAGACTCGATTATTTACAGACCGCCGTCATATAGCTGGAATATTGCTGAGTGCGGCGTTAAACTACAAACCAACCAACCACAAGTCCATAGGGGGCGGTGGGTTAGTCCAGTGGTTCAAGCGTTCGCTCGCATGCTTAAGGCCCGGTTTTAATTCCCAACATAGGTTCAATATGTAAAGACCAGTTTGTGTAGTTCCCCGCCGTGACGATTCTGGATTATTGCTAAAAGTACGTAAGACCCCAGTTGTCCGCTCAATCACAAGTCAACCATCGCTCCGTGTGCGACTTAGACAAAAGCCACACAAAGCCTCCAATAACTGTTATAAGTTATATCCTCGGACGCCGCGCCAAAACGGTAATGAAAGAGAACAGTTAAAAGGCTTTCGTAATCTGAGACCATATCACGAGCTTACGCTAGACTAGACACACTGCTCCAAATCATTTCAGTCTATGATGCTAACAGTGGCAACAATTAAAGGTATTGTTAAAGCTATTTCCTTCCTCAACAGTCACCGACTTTGACAGGCTTCGCCAAGAATTGCCGCTAGGTGGCGGTATCAAAGTTGAGGAATTTCGTCTCGGTAATCACGCGAACTTTTGTTTGTGTAGGAAATGTGATACAGTAAAGAATGTTTAAATAACAGTAATTATTGGTGAAGAATGGCACAAGAAACCGGCGCAAAGAAGGGGCTACACAGAGTGCAAAGCTTCGTTTAATGTAACAAGTATACTTTTTTCGTTTAGGACTTGAAGGACGCAGAGGTTTAACAATATTTAAGGGTAAGTAATTTTGATATCTTTAAGAGCATAAAATATATTTTTTTCCATTGCATAAGTATAGATCACCAAGTTTTATTTTGTTTATTTAATACAATCGAATTAACGGTATACGTGTACAGCATTTGTCATGAATGAAATTTGTGTCGCACTTAACTAACATAATTAAAAAACTTATAAATGATGTTTACGTAGCTGTATAAAAAAAAGAACTTGAGTTTATATACGAAACTATGCTTTACGATGAATTGAACATAAGACGAGTAAAATTACACCCCACTTTCGTCTTCAGTTCGTTTTCGAATGTATATATATATAATATATATAATATACATATTATTATTATATATATACCCCACTTTCGTCTTCAGTTCGTTTTCGAATATATATATATATAATATATATAATATACATATATATATATATATATATATATATATATATATATATATATATATATATATATATATATATATATATATATATATAAATAATGTTTTCATGCGTGAAACCGGTTGAGTAAATTATACAGCTCATCTTTGGACTTTTGTATTTTATCTATATATATTAAATAAGTGGAGTAAGATTGAACACAGTTTTAATTGGCTAGCGCTTTCAACTCGTACTGTGCCTGAGAGTTAGAACTTTACATTATATATATATATATATATATATATATATTGGTTATTGGTAAGCCACGTGTTCGGCATGATGAGTGGTTTAATGTTTTTTTATACTAAAATAACTGAAACACATATGAGAGACTAATCGGGGTAAATGAGCTTCCTTATAATTGATGTTATAGTCAAAGAGTGCTTCCCTAACTCACGAGCAGGATATTTTAAATTATTCGGCCTCAGTTCAAGTTTTAATTGTATTAAGGTTGTTTTATAGTATGATGGCGTTTTGACTAGTCCATTATCAAGTGAGGGATGGGATTAACTGAGTGGAGTGGAGTCATCCCACCTTACCACAATTACTGAAGTCGAACTGACTGTAGACGACATGAACTGTAGTCGAAAGAAGGATTACTAGATCACTAAAATGAAAATGCTCTTAATCACATTCACCTGTGTAATTGGATCTTCTGTTTATTAAAATCTACGCAACTAAAACGCAGGAATCGCCTGTTCACAGAACACCTGGGACGCTTGTTTATCTGTTGACTGTTGCATTAAATTAAACAAAATATTTATAGTCGTTTCTCGTGTTTATGTCTTTCTGCAAAATTACATTTTCGCGTATTTTACCTTCCTGTTAAAACTGGTTGAAAGTCGTTCAGGGAGTCTTCGAAAGCTCGTTTTCAAGACACCCGAATCCTAGGCGAATATCAGTGAGACATTAATGTAACATAATATCCATCTTTTTCAGCTGCGCTCTTGCAAAACATATTAAAAATGTTTATTTTACCTCCCTTTGCATATTTTTGTACCCACTTCGTTCTGTGTTGGGACACCTAGTGTGTATATATGTTACAGTCAATGTGTGAAACGAATGAAATTTTCACCTAAGCAATTTACAAAATGCCCAATTATTTCTTCATTTTACAAACTGACTGAATTTACACATGACTGTACCAACAAGCCAGTGAAGTACTGACGATGCATATATATTATCACCTATAATTTCTGTTTAAACAATATGATAATATGCTAAGTATATCGATGATACTTACATTAAACACAAGGACATTCGTGTTGTATAGATCATAAAGATATATGTACGCAATTATTGATTTGATCGATTTCACAATCGGCACCTATGCATAGACTGAATAGAGACACGATCGTGTTTGTGTGTTTGGATGTTTATGTACTGCGCTAGGCATGGTCACGCGAGTACAAAATAATATTTTTTACTGGTTCTGAGCAGGTGCACGTTGACTTGTTGCGTAAACAGACTCCATGCTGTCTCTGTTGACACGGATGTTTTATCAAAATAGACGAATAGACGCTTATGCAGTGAATTAGCTCGGCTACCCATGAACATCCGTGTTTAACTTGATTCTCAGCAAACCCATGCTTGTCGTAAGAGGCGGCTAACGGGATCGGGTGTTCAGCCTCGCTGCGTTGATCTATGCTCATGATGTCAATCACTTGATTTTCTTGCCCAGACCCTATTATTTACAGACAGCCGTCATATAGTTGGAATAATGTTGACTGCGCGTCAATCTCATTAAAATCAGACCTCAGTTCTCGCTAAACAAAGCGGTAGCGAGAACTAAGATCTGATTTTAATGAGATTGACTGCGCGTTAAACAACAAGCAAACAAAATAAATCTGCGCATTTCCCTCGGTTTTTTTAAATTTCCTGGTCAATATGTCGATGTGCAGGGAGATGTATTCAATGTACAAATAAATCGATAGTTTAATAGCGACGGGGCGGTCGGGTAGCCTAGTGGTTTAAGCGTTCGCTCGTCACGCCGAAGACCCGGGTTCGATTCCCGACATGGGTACAATGTGTGAAGCCCATTTCTGGTGTCCCCCGCCGTGATATTGCTGGAATATTGCTAAAAGCGGCGTAAAACCAAACTCACTCACTCACTAATAGCGACGAGAAAAAATGACATTTGTGACGTCAACAAATCTTACGGGAGCTTGTGGTAGCGTGAACCTACAAATCAAGAGGTTGCCGGTTCTTGTGCCAACCTTTTAAAAGTATTGTGTCCATAAATGTGTTGTTGTTATATGACTATGTAGTGGTTATATAGTTTTTCCATCACACAGGAAGCACGTTTAGCTGTTAAAATTAGACTCCTAGACGCTTCAAAATTATGGGACGCGCATAGGTTTTTGTTCAGGATCTAAACAAATTCCTTACAGAGGATGAGGCGCAGACTGTCGGTTCCTTAATCGTTGTTTCAGACATGAGGTAGTGAGTGAGTGAGTTGGGTTTAACGCCGCTTTTAACAGTATGCAGGTCTCAGACGTTTACCACTTCGGTGAAACCCACGAGCACGGGTATGGTGCTGACAAACCTAAAAACATAATCGGGGCGAACCGGGATTCGAACCCACAATCATAGGGTTCTGGCGTGCCCAAGGGACGCAACTCTGCACAGCGAATCGCCGCGCCTGAGACGACTTGATCGAGTCTGGACCAGACAATCCAGTGACTGACATCATGCGCATCGATCCACACAATTGGGATCGATGACATACATCAACCAAGTCATGTCATCGATCCCAATTGCGTTGATCGATGCTCATGATATTAATCACTGGATTGTCTGGCCTAGACTCGATTATTTACAGACCGCCGTCATATAACTGGAATATTGCGGCGTTAAACAACAAACAAACAACCAACATCAACCAAGTCAGCGAGCCTGACCACCCGATCCCGTTAGTCGCCTCTTACGACAAGCAAGTCGCCTTTTATGACAAGCATGGGTTCCTGAAGACGTATTCTACCCCGGATCTTCACGGGTCTATCAACATTATGTACAGCCTCTTTAGGATGTTGATAAAATGTATAAGCTTTAAATATGTTTACCCAAATTTTAATAATGATGACTCCCTAATTGAATCCGACTTCGGAAATGTCGGACAATTCCATTTTACGAACAGGTGGGTGAAGTTTTGTATTTCCCGTATATCCTCGATTATCTGGGGCTTTTCTCCTTAAACCGATTGTCATTTCTCTCCCACTTTTGGATGTGATTATCCGGCCACTGCGTTTATCTGCGTAGCCCAGGTACAAATATGGGGAAGAATTTGCTTCCCACTTCCCTCTCAAAATAACGTCGTCCAATATATGACGTCATCAAGTTGCGAGCGCATATTCGAATCACCAGAAGTGAGGTCATGATAGAATAATGTATTATCGCGAAATAATAAAAATTTCGTTGTGTTCATTGACATTCCTGCATTCTGATTAGCTAAATTGGTCACGTGTTATTGCATTCATTTCCCAATGACATTCGTCACCACTCGTCCCTTTCCGTAACCTGCAAGAAGACTCCATTCGTCACCACTCGCCCCTTTCTGTAACCTGTGCCGGAATAACACGAGTTGGTCGCGAATGAGAAGACTCGTCCCCCCTATCGATGAATGTTATGTGCGAAAATACGACAAACCAATCAGAATGCGCGTATGATTTCAAGTTCTTCGTCAAAGAATCCCTCAGAAACAATATTTGATTTTACATATGTCGTGCATCTAAAAATATACTCAAGACACAGTTAAATGTGTTCAATCATACTGTATAAATCCGCATGTCCCGATGTGATATAAATTGCATCTGAAATATATATAATATATTGGGAAATATTTGTGCATTACGCAACGAGTTGACAATTGTTTTAGGTATGCCCGTTTGCGCTAAGACGGAACCCGGTCGCAAAAATGGCCACGAAAGGGGCACGAGTCGCTATTCGGCTTGTCCCGGAATAACACGAGTTGCTCACGAATGTTCCCAATGAATGTAAAAAACTAAGCCACGCCCACCGAGGCGCACTACTTTTATTACTGCGGAATGTCGGGGAATCCCAATGTTACAGTCGAGGGAATTCCCTTTCTGCTCTAGTATATCGTCATGCACAGGACATTTAGCGACTTTCATGGATATTCATTGTCCAAACTATCCTTTGAAACCAAAGGCCGAGAATGAAAGAAACAGCAAACGTGCAGGCTCTCTCGCCTGTTTTTTCCCCGCTCACCTCGGTTCAACTTTCATGTCTTCGGGTTTCATTTCTAACCACGCGGATTCATACAGTTTGCACATCGGTTTTTCGATTCATACCTCAATGAACCGAAATAAATACACAGTCAATCCTTAAATATACCACGCTTCGTTCTTCATTGCTCTTTGCGATTTGGGGGCACGGGTCGCCCCGATTATGTGGGTTTCAACGAAGTGGTAAACGTCTGAGACCTGCATCACTTCGGGCTTTCCTCCCACATTAAGCTGACATGCCGCGATATAACTGGAATACTGTTAAAAGTGGCGTTAAACCCAACTCATTCACTCACTCACTCTTTGCGATTTATTGCGAAGCTTTCT